GAGCACTGGGTGTTATACGCAAACAATGAATCATGGAACACTACATCAAAAACTAATGATGTAATGTATGGTGATTAACATAACATAAAATTTAAAAAAATAGAAAAAAAAATTCTTTGTCTAGCATTCCATTTAGAACAAGTGATCTGTCTTGAAAGGGCTTGGATGATAATTTTCTATGGAATTCCTTTCAGTTCAGAATGAATGAACCATGGGTACCCGTGTGTGTGTGTGTGTGTGTGTGTGTGTGTGTGTGTCTGTCTGTCTGCGTGCATGGTGGGGTGTGTTACACATATGTGTGCCTGCAGGCATTTGTGTGTGTGTGTGTGTGTGTGTGTGTGTGTGTGTGTGTGTGTGTGTTGTTTTCTCTTCTGTGGACTAAGGTAAGCCCTAACTTAGGCCCTGAGTTTGAATCTGCCCACTCTAATCCATTCTCTTCCTGAGGTTCCAAACATGACCCTCTCCTGCTTCTGAGTGTCTATGGCTCTATTTTGCTAATAAATTAATTTCCAACTTCTCAGACAAGCTCAGAAGCCCTTTGTACTCTGGTCTCTATCTGCCTTCCTTCCCTTATCTTTTGTCAGTCTTCCTATGCTCCTTATACTCCAAACATACAGGAATATTTTCTGTTCCCCAAATATCACCGTTTGCACACATCTGGGTCGGGCACTCTATTCCTTCTCCATTCCTTTATCTGAAAGTCTTTTGTCTTTAGTTCACTGGCAAGGGTAACTACTGTCCTCTGTTTTTGCTTCTGGTGTTGCATTTAGCTCATTGTTTTGCAATTATTCATTTGCATATTTTTATTTTCTGCCTCTGGGATGAGAGTTCCTTGAATATGAAATTTCTCTTTTGGTTTTATTTTGTTATTGTTTGACTCAAATTTATAAATCCTTAGCACCTAGCACAGAAATGCCACAGAATACTTGCTCAGAAAAATATTTAAGAGATGGGTTTTCCCAGTCCAGATTGATCTATTTGCAAGGTTCATTGTTTTCATAATCAAACTCACAAATTAGTTTCTATTAGCTTTCTTGTTCAGCTTGAAACTTTTACTCTTATAACTGATTATAGATGAAATTTGTTCCCAACAAATAGGCTTAAGTCTTTTAATCCTTGGTTCCCTAGGGTCCTGAGATGTGCTTTGCATATGGCAGATGTTCAGTTACTATTTTCTGAGTACATTAATGAAACAAATCATCAGTAGTCACAAAGTGTTTTTGCATAAAGGGGACACATAGACCAAAGGCCTGAATTATAGAGTTTAACATAAAAGTGTATCTAATCTGTTATACTTACATTGCAAATAAGAAAGTTAAGGCATAGCTGTTAGTGATAGAGGCAGGACTACCTATCCATCACCCTTTGGGTTATACCTTCTTGTCCCCCAGATCCAATCAGAATTTTACTTCTCTGAGTATATGTACTCCAATTAGGATAAAAATCTGATTTTGAGAGAAATTTGGTTATGAATTCTCACCTCAAGTAATATTTGAATTGCTGAATTTAGGATCTAAATGACAATCTTAGACATCATTTGATAGTTTTTAATCTTTCACTGATTCCTGGGGCTCTGGTGTCTTCAGGATCACAGTGGAGCATGTGTAAAGGAATTTATACAAGCCTTACTTCAAAAAGAGCTGCTCCTTTTCTGCCTTTCCTTTTGGAGGTCAGGCAGGATTTGTCAGAAAAAATAAAGTTTTAATATCTGGGGCACAGTTCACAACATTTTACCCTTAACTTATAGTTGAAGGAGTTAAAACCCAGGGAGGTAAAGAGACTTGCCCTGAGTCTAGTGTTCAATTCAATCAGAAAAAAAATGATACCATCAACTAACATTTTAATTTTAACATTCATTTGAAAAACTCAAACTAATTTAAGCAAATCTCTCTTGTAAATCAGGGGTCAGCTGACTACAGTCCAGAGACCAAATCCAACTCAACACCTCTTTTTGTAAATAAAGTTTATTGGAACATGGTCACACCTACTTTTGTACGTATCGTCTGTGGCTCCTTTTCACTTCAACAGTAGCACTGAGTAGTTGCAACAGAGATTGTCAGGTCCACAGAACCTAAAATAGTTACTATCTGGCCCTCCACAAGAAATGTTTGCTGACCTTTGGTCTATATGGTCTCCAAACCACCAAGGAATTAATACATTCATTCAGTCAACCAACAGTTGGATCTACACATCAACAACCAATGTGAAGATTTTTCCCACCCACTGCACGTGGCTCACCCCAGGACTCCACCCATTAACTGTGCTCTGTGTTCTATCCTGTCACTGGTATTTTGCAGTGTGGAGACACAAATGTTGTTAATTAAAAACTTAGGGTATGTGTGCAAATCAAGTTGTACAATGACATTGGGTACTCACTGTATCACCTTCAGAAAGGAAAACTAAAAAACTGAACTTTACCTGTATCTGTAGACCTCACAATACCAGGGCTGCTGCTTCACATAGAGAAATGCACAGATTTGCACAATGCAGGTGAAACAGGTGTTCAAAAAGACTGAGAGCAGCAAAGGTGGAGAGAGGAGCTGTCCTGCTGGTCGGTAAGGAGCCAGGTTTGGGTAGGCATGAGTTGAACTCACTGAAAAACAAATGCATTTTCCCCTCTTACAATTTCATTATTGACAGTAAAAGATTGAGATGTCTATTATCTCGAGACTTGCATTAGGGTTCAGATGCAGCAAACATGAATGAGGGTTTACATCTAGGTAAGCACATTGCCTAGGTGCATATCCAATGTTACCAGCCTTTGCCTCTTCCATGCTTTTGTTTCACCTTCAGAAACGAAAAGTAATAGGTTTAAAAATTCTGTTAATTACACATTTACCATATTTTATGGTGCAAATATTTTCTTCACAACCACACTGACCAGGAATGGTGTATAAAATAGAAAGGTGGCCTTCTACATGGATAAGCAGTACTATGATCTCTCAGCGGTGGTGGGAAGGTGGAGAGTTAAGAAGAAGAGAGTAAGAGACATTAGGCTAGACTAATCTTCATATGCTGGGGATTTTTTTTAAAAAAGCACTCATTTTATAATTCATTCAGCCAACATTCTCTGAGTACTTCAGTGTACCAGGATAGATGCTAGAGGTGTGTTCTGTTCCATCCTGAATAAGTGATAAAAGGAGAACTGTTAGAACACATTACACCTGGTCAGGAAAAATAGCACATAAAATAATCTCGCTTCCAGATGAGAGTGGTAAAATGTATTATAATTTTGATCCTAGAGTTGTTTTTTTCTTTTTTAACTTAAAGGATTGGCAATGGGCGGAGATTAAACAGAACAACTACAAAAAAGGATGACTGCATTCTTCTTAGAAGCCATATATTCTAACAAGCTGATGAAAATGGAATGTACTTTACTTCTTAGGGCAGCGCAGGAAAGAAGCATGGAAAGGTCAGGAATCAGATACAATACATTCAAAGGTTTACATTATAGTCAGGTTTCAGTTCTTGTCTTTATATCTATTGCCTTTTCCTTTTTTATAGCTGATCACTGGTTTCTTTGAAAGTAAGGAAGAAAGTAGGGTGCATATGCTTAGGTTTGTGTTCATGCATGTAGGGGCAAGGCAGTAGGAGCAGGTGTCCAGTTTGGGATGATAACACTCTAACGTAGGTCTTCAGTTTGCTCAGTAGGTCCTTGGGTAATCACGTGAACTCTCTGGTACTGCATTTTCTCATGTATAAAGTGAATGGGTAAGAATGTCTAAGTGGTCTCCAAAGGCTCTTCCAACTCATTTACTCTAAAGCTCTATAACTATCTAAGGCTTTGCCTTTACCAATTTAATCAATATTTCCCTAGGAGGATGCTAGGCTATAGGCCATGGGGTATGCAGAGATGAGGAGGACATCTCATCTGCCCTGAAAAGCTTGAACTCTGATGGAAAAACACAGATGGGTTATGTAATAAAGAATTTGGCTGACCTTTATTCCCAGTTCCTGGGATGTATTCTCTAAATTGTTGGGATTTCTTGAGTTGACAGAAGTGTCTTTTTATTCATGGTAGCCCTGATGGTTTATGCAAATAAGATGACAGATGGTGGGCCCAAAGGAAGTTGGTGATAAAGTGATGACTCAGGATGGAGCTGGCCATGCCACAAAAAACCTGGAGATTGAGATCAACTTCGTGGCCAATGATTCAACCAATCATGTCTACGTAAAGAAAACCCAATAAAAACTCTAGACAAGGCACCTAAGTTCAGGTGAGTACTGCTTGGCAATACTCTGCATGTTGTCACCATGGATGTGCCAGGAAAGTAAGGCAAACTGACTCCCCAGGAAGAGGACAGTGGAAGAGTTGAGATCCTCCCACCATGGGATCCTTTCCCCAGTCTCCACGCTGTGTGTCTCTCCCTTTGGCTGGCTCTGATTTGTATTCCTTTACTCTAATAAAACTGTAATCATATGTATAGCACTTTACTGAATTCTGTGAGTTGTTGATGTGAATTACTGAACCTGAGGGGAGAATGAGAATCCCCAAGTTTGCAGCCGGCTGGTCAGAAGTGTGAATGAGACCCCCAAACTTACTGCTGAGTTCCGAAGTAAGGACAGTCTTAAGGAGGCTGTGCCCCTAACTTGTGAAGTTTGGCCTCACTCTGGGTAGTTAGTGTGAGAAGTCATTGCATGGCATGCAAGGAAGGGGCACACAGTGTGACCTCTCGTCAATGCAAAGAGACTGTGCTCTGGCCACAGAAGGCAGAGGCTGCCGAGCTTGGAGTTCTTTTCACGTTCTTATACTCAAGGAAGAAGATGGCTACAGAGCACATGAAGAGGCGGTGGGTGATGGAAAGAGGTGAAATTGTATCTCTGAGCATTTGGCTCTACCTCTCCAGTCCTCTCTTTCTCAGCTGCTCACTGAGTTTCTGACTTTTCTTTTACCCAGAGACTATACTGGGTTGAATTATTGGTCTCATTGTGGTAGAGTGCACTTTATCACCCTTTAATTTTGGTTTCATTGTGTAAGTCTTCTCAGGCCAAAGCAATGTTAGCTGAGGTTTCATGTCTGCTTGCATAGCCAGGTTCACTCTCTGTGATCACAATGACAGCATGCCCAAGTCTGTCATTCCAGCCTGGCTCCAGAGTGAAAAATGTGGAGCAGACCTGAATGAAACCTATAGCCTTGACCAAGACCAACTGATCTACATCCTAAAGCCAATCAGTTTCAGCTGACCTAGATCAGCTGAATGACAGTTTATCTACAGAGCAAGAGTAGATATTGTAAGCCACAGAATCTGGGGGAGAGGTTTGATATACAGTATTATAGTGGCAATAGCTAACTGATGCAGAGTCCTTACATAATGAATATTTTAACTCTTTCCATATTAGAAATTCTAATGCTTTCTGACAGAAAATCTGAATATCTGGCTATAAAAAAATGACTAGCATTTTAGGGCCCCCTACTATGTTCCAGAGCCTCTGCAAAGTGCCTTACAAACATTATTTCTTTAAAAAGCAATGCAAGGGGCACCTGTGTGGCTCAGTTGGCTAAGCATCCAACTCTTGATTTCCACTCAGGTCATGATCTCAGAGTTGTGAGATTGAGACCTTCCTCGGGCTCCATGATGGGCATAGAGCCTGTTTGGGATTCTACCCTCCCCCCCGCCCGACCCTATCCCCTGCTCATTCTCTCTCAAAATAAAAAAAATAAATATTTTTTAAAAAGCAATGCAAAATAGGTATTTCATATCTATTTTACAGGTGAAGAAACTGAGGTTCAGAGAAGTAGGGTTCCTTGTTTAAAGACCCACCGTTTGTGAACAACAGGGTGGTAATATAAACTTAAGTCTGTCTAATTGTAAAGCCCCCTGTTCTCTGTTCTACAGCACATTGCAGTAGTGTAGATTTCATAAATTAAAAAAGATAAAATGAGGAGCCCTAAAATGCAAGCTTGTTATTTCTCGGCAGCCAGAACTCTTCTGAACTGTCTAGGTTTCCTTAAAATGGGGATGATATATGCTATCATACTACATGCAGAGGAATGTAAGCTTGTGAAGTGTTATATTTCATTCGGAATTAAGCATTCCCTCCTCTGAGTTTCCACAGCCCGTTACTCATTTTGCTGCTATGTAGTGAGGATGTCTTGCATTAAATCCAGTCATTTACACATGCACTCAGCAGACTGTGAGCTCCCTGAGGGAAGAAACCCTGTCTCATCCTACTTATCTGTCCCTCACTGAACCTGGTACAGGGCCTGCTATGTAGGAGGACTTAGCAGTTGCAAATTTTTATTTTCAAAGTATACTTTTTAATTCTTCAGCATAATTTGGATATAATGTAGGCATGCTTTTCCTAAATAGTTGGCTTGCTTTATATAAAGGACATTTCAAGTCTTGTACGTCAAATTTCCAGAGGCTCCCGAACACACCTAAACTACATGCAAAATTTTGAATGTGTCTCATGAGATTTTTAAGGTGAAAAGATCTGTATCTTCCATGAGATTCTCCAAAGGGACCAAGACCCAGAAAAGGTGAGGAGTCTTTGAAGCACTGATGGAATTTATGTAAGAGAGGCATTTATATAATGGATGGGTTTCCTCCTACAGCCTTCTTCTCTGGACACTGCCTCCTTCCATATGCTGAAGTGGTTGGCCTAAATAGAGCTAAATTACATGACCTCATCTTTATTTACAGAAATAACTGACTTAGAAGTGGACATTATTTTACCCGTTAGGTCAATGAATTTTCTCTCCACAATATTTGCAAAGGAGACACTGAGAGGCTAAGCTAATTAGCTGTGCAAAGACCAACAGAAAGGTTATGGAGGTTCAATAGTAAAGTCACCATTTAGGGTCATTTGCAAGGTGAATGAGTAGAAGTCACACGAAAACAGTAAGAATAGAAAGAAGAAGAAGGAGATAAGATGGCCTCTTGGAAATAAAAAAGGTGGCCATTGTTTGCCACTCTTTAGTGCTCTAGCCTTGCTCTGGCCCAGGGTGCTTTTGAGTTTCTATTCTCAAATTTTTTCTTTTGAGAATTATATTCTTAAAAATCCCCCTACTTCTTTTTTTCTTGATCTAATTTGAGTGGGTTTTGTTAAAAAGAGTAGAGATGCAGCTAGAACAAATTCCTTTTAAAATGGCCTCTGTACCTTTTAGGGTCAAATTGGGCTTTAAGACATCCATTTTCTTAATTGACCTCCCTGACTTCACTTTACTTTTCTCCTTGATTTCCCTTTAACATATTATATCTTGTCTTATTAACTGCCTTTGTGTTGCCTTAAAATCTTTTGGGAACAAGACAGGGTATATACAGATAAGCAAGTACATAAATTAATTAAATACATGATGGTGTTGTCTTTGTCCCATACTAATTCAGACTTGTGGTCAAAAGCCCTAATCTGAGAACTTGGAAAGGCAGGCACCTTGGTGAGAGTGGTTTTACATTGATCATCCAATTGTCAATGACTACTAACATCCACAGATGAATGTTCACAGTTCTCAGCATGGAAGTCAAGTTCTGTGATCTGATCCGACTCACCTTTTCAAATTTTATCTTCTGCTGTTTCTTTTCACATACCCTACAGTGTGGTCGAATTGAAAAACTCATGCCCCAACTCTCTCTTGCTCATGCTGCTTTATTCTACTTCAAGTACCCTTCTCTTAGGAAAAGATTTTTGAAATCCGTCCATCTTTTCTATTTTGATACAAATGTTACTTCTTCCATGAAGCAACCCTTAGTATTTCTCTCTTTTCTCCATTGCTATCTCTTCCCCAACCACAGATTTTCAGAAATAATCTCTCCTTTCTCTGAACTTCCCAAAGCACCTGTTGTTTTCTCTCTCACTCTCACCAAGGTGCCTGCCTTTCCAGGTTCCCAGATTACGGCTTTTGACCTCAAGCCTGAATTAGTATGGGACAAAGACAACACCATCATGTATTTAATTAATTTATGTACTTGCTTATCTATATATATCTATATATATACGTCTTGTTCCCACAAGATTTTATAATCTCTCTTTTCTCTGAACTCCCAAAGTACCTATTGTTTTCTGGCACTCACTACTTTTGACTTGCATTTCCTTCATTCATGCATGTGAATCCCACACTAAACTGTAAACTTCAGTGATCAGCCTATTTAGGCCCCAGACACCTGTGTGCCTAACATATAGTAGGAAAGGCTTTTCCTTTGTCTGGGCCTTTTCTTGCTGAGCCTTATACTTGAGGACCATGAATGGCAAATGCCAACTGAATTAAAAGAGAGATGACTGCCATATCTCTATTGTACCCACTCAGAAGGATCCATACTGGTCCTTCAACTATAAGCATGCCCCAACCCCAAGAAATTACCTATATGCAGAATACATAAAATTATAGAAATTATTAAGAGAGTCTTTAAAGGGAATTATTAAGAGCAGCGAGAACTGTGGTTTTCTTCCCAGCATCACTCCAATCCAAACTGAGGGGAGGTCATAAGAACCACTCCAGGAGATACCTGAAGTATTTTGGGAGGTGGGGATTGGCTTGCTCATTCTGGTTGCAATATCAGAGGGAAAAGACAGGGGGCAGCAGTGACAGCAGGCTACATCTACTATCTGGTAGGTCAGGTAGAAACTATGGAAATTAGCCAGGCTAGAGTTGTTTTGGAAAGAATCTGCCCAGTGGGCAGTCTGCTGGGACTAGAGGGCCGAGGAGTTGAGAAAGGCTTCACTAGAAGGCAGTTGCTGAGAGGAATCCTGAGTGAGAGGGTGAGAGCACCACCCATGTCAGGGAGTAGTTTAGTCCAGAATAATTCACAGGAATCTCTGAAGGGCCCAAAAACTCACCAGTGAGTCCCATGCCAATTTCAATCAATGATATTGCTTTTGCAATATTGGATATTTTTAAGCATTTTGTATGATTTTCTTGTGAACGTGAATTTTAGATGCCTGCCGTGCTAGAGAGCACTTGACAGGACAGAACTACAATACCCCCACATAAGTAAAAAGTCATTTGCTCTTGTTGCTCCCAGATTCCCTGAAGCAAGAGTGGAGAGTAGGCAACACAAGGAAAGTAGAGACCATGGCCTTCTCTCCCACTGCTTGCTCCAAAGTCAGGCTTGATCTAGGAAGAAAAAGTCTGAACTGGATGAAAACATGAAATGTTAGTTTAAATGTCTAAAGATGAGATCATTTTAATACCTGATACTGACCAGGAAATGATCTGCCTGCGGCATGACTGAGTTTGCAGTGATGGAAAAACAATAGTGTTTGAAGGCGGAGGTTAAAAAAACACTGAGGCACATGGGTGGCTCAGTCAGTTTAGCATCCAACTCTTGATTTCATCTCAGCCTTGTGAGACTGAGCCCCCCATCAGGCTCTGTACTCAGTGTGGAGTCTGCTTGAGATTCTCCCTTTTCCTCTACCTCTGTTCCTCCCCCGCCATCTCTTTCTGTCTTTCTCTCTCTCTCTCTCTCTGTCTCTCTCTCTCTCTCAAATAAATAAATAAATAAATAAATAAATAAATAAATAAAATCTTTAAAAAAATTATCCCAAACACACTACCCATATTTTTGGATTTCTAATCAAACTATCTACTTGTACGCAGTCTAATTCTGTTCAAAGGCTCAGTGAGTTAGCCAGTCATTTCAAAAGAAGCAAAAGAGAATAGGTGCAAGGTGATAGCATTCATCTTGTGATGAGTGCTTACAACGTGTGACACACTGCTATACACTTCACATGCATTGTTTTATCTGGTCCTCTCAACCCTATGAGGACATTTCATAACAGGAAATTATTTCATAAATAGTTTGCCAAAGTTTGCAGAGATAGCGAGTGGGAGAAAATGGCCATGGCCTTCACCTTCATGCTACTGCCTGCTAACTTAGCTCCTGGAACTTCCTGGTGTTTTTTTTTTTCCTTTTTTAGCATCATCAACCATGTTCACAAGTAAATCATACAAATTGCTTAAAAATATCCAACACTGCAAAAGCAAGATCTTTGATTCAAAATGTTCTAGTCATGTGACTATTAATAACACACAGAAAAATATGTTAATGGACTACAAATATACATTTCAGCCCGAAGAATCGAAACTGATGTTACTTACATCTCTGATGCTGGTAACTTCTGTCATTGGGTTGATATAATAAACGACTTCAATATCAGTTTCATGTTTTAAGATGTTACATGAAATTCTCAAGGTTATTAATATCCTGCATTGCCTGATGCTTTATCTGTTAGTTTTCATAACACTTCCATTGTTGAACAAGGAAAAAGAAATGACTATGTCATTCTTTTTCTTTGCTCTCTGTTGAGGCAGTCATCTTTCTCACTTATTAAGAGTTAGTATGAAGCCCTGCGTTCTTTGATAGGAAATACTTTATCAGTGTCATCTCAAAGGAAGGAAATGAACAATAGCTGCTGTGAGCCACACCTTGCTTTTGAGAGAATTCCTGGAATTAAATGCTAGCATTTGTTCTCACATGTCAAATACCTAGGAAAAAATCTGGTTTCATGTCAATGTGAAGAATAGCTACATAATAGAAAGTGACCTTTGGGTTTTAAAGATTTCCCTTTCTAGATTTCCTATACATTTTTCTATGTACAAGACACACACCTATGAAGAACTCAGAATACACTGATCATTTTATGAGGCTAAGACCTATTTGCTATCAGGATATTTTAGTGCCAAATCTGAGGACTTCAAGCCTCAACTTACTCCAACACCTCTTTCAAAAAACTTACAGGTAATGTGGTTTTAGTAATAAAGGTGCTTCTTTCACAGAAGCTTTGATTTGTGTGAGTATTTCTAGAGTGCATGGATAAATACAAATAATTCTGTTTACTTTGCTAAAACACCTACTTGTTAAGCAGACCATCAAGGTAATGGCTACATCTTGCATGAGATACTGGTAATTCCCAAAGAGCTGTAGTTGCTGAAAAGGAAATAAAGGTAAATATAAGGGGACGCCTGAGTGGCTCAGTCAGTTGAGCATCCAACTCTTGGTTTCGGCTCAGGTCATGATCTCAGGGTCATGGGATCAAGCCCCACCTCGGGCTCTGCACTCAGTGCAGAGTCCACTTGAGATTCTCTCTCTCCCTCGCCCTCTGCTTCTCCCTCCCCACGCTCTCTTTCTGTCTCTCTCTAAAAATAAATAAATAAACCTTGAAAAGTAAGTAGAAGAATTGTTTCTGCCATTGTAGCATTGTTATCATTGCCAAAACTCTTTCTGAAAGTAATCAGGAAGCAACAGTTATTTTTCTTTCCTCTTTAAAAAAAAAGTAATTTACCTATGATTTTTAGCATCTCATTGGAGAGAATGAAACCAGATCACAATTTTCCCAGTGTTTAACTTAATTCCATATTAGCAATGAGAGTCAGTCAGCTGGGAAACACCCTCTTTATTGGCCACAGTAATCTGGCAGCTACAGTCTCAGCCTGGACAGCTGAATTCTCGAAATAAGATACCCACTTGGAATGCCAAGCATAAAATTTTGAAATCCAAGCCACAAATCATTCAACAGGTATGACTCTCCATCCTTATCCAGAGACTGAGTTCACAATATTGTTCTCTTGGGGTCCATTCACTTTCACAAACTGAACAAGTACCTCTACCTCAAGTAATCCCATTGCAGACGTCAGTCTGGTATGCTTGACTTCCTAAGTTTGTGTAGACACAGAAACTTGTTTGAAGTTCACATTTATGGAGTCATATATAAAAGTCAACTTGTTACCTCCAGAAACTTGCTTGGCAATACCTGTTGCAGCCATCTCTGTTTCTCTGCTTCATAGCTGCTGACTGAACACTAAGTTATGATCTGAACCATTAGAGACCACCTTTAAGCAAATGAGAAATAGTTCTAGATTTTTAGAGTGTGAACCCAAGGCCCTGAAGTTTTTGATTAAAGGTCTTTGCTGGGGCGGGGGTGGAGCACCTGGGTGGCTTAGTTGGTTAAGTGTCTGCCTTCGGTTCAGGTCATGATCCCAGAGTCCCAGGATCGAGCCCCACATTGGGCTCCCTGCTCAGTGGTGAGTTTGCTTCTCCCTCTGCCCCTCACCCTGCTCATGCTTGCTCTCTCTCCCTCAAATAAATAAGTAAAATCTTAAAAAAAATAAAGGTCTTTGGGGGACACTCTTATTTAGGTCTAGAGCATCAGAGTGAATGGCTGCACAGTGGCCTATCTCTATGTGAACACAACTCTATGTGTGAAGACTTTGGAACTGAGAAGTCTTTGATAGTTTTGAGAAGACATAAATTGTTCCTCATCCTCCATAAATGGTTCCCCAAGAACCATTGGCCTCCAACTCTCTCTCTGTCTTCTTTATATTTCTTTCTCATACCCCTTCTTTTCCCCTCAGAATGGCACAATTATACATACGAGAATGAGATGGAACAGGGAGAAATTTTCCAAGGCAGCTTTAGTTTTGTTCTAGAAGCAGCTTTCCTAGAACTGTGGAGAACTTTGGAAATCTGCCAGGCTGACATCCCAGAGGCACATAAGGGCTTGGCCAAGGGCAAGATCTAAGGTGCTCTTAGTGATAGAGGCAGAACTTGAATCTAGGTTTTCTGACTCCCAACCCAGTTCCTGTTTCTATTTGCCTGGTTGCCGCTTAGCCCTCTGTGCGTGATTCTTGCCCGCAACAGCCCACCAGATGCTAGAGTTCTGTGGTCCTCTCGTTCACCTTTCAAATGTCCTAGAAAAACAATATAATAATTGCCTCCCTGAAGTGTTCCCTGAGCCTGTTGGATCATCTCACTGTAGAGCAAGTTATGACTGAAATAATGAAGATTACTTTCAACTTATACATATTTCTTCCATATAGTTAATTTTAAAATGATTATTTTTATCATTTAATTTCAAAAGTCCTTTTTTTTTAAATTTTTAAATAAGGGGCACCTGGGTGGATCAGTAAGTTAAGTGTCTGCCTTTGGCTTAGGTCAATATTCCTGGGGTTCTGGGATCCAGCCCCACATCAGGCTCCCTGCTCAGCAGGGAGTCTGCTTCTCCCTCTTCCTCTGCTGCTCCCTCTCTCTCTCTCTGTCAAATAAATAAATAAAAATCTTAAAAAAAATTTTTTTTAATGTTAATCCTTTACCAACGACATGTCTAAGTGTGTACGTTCTGGGCATGTTCAGCAGTAAAGTTCCAATAAGGGAATTTTTCTAGTTTTTGAGTGCTTCAAGGTCAAATTCAAAAACTTCTGTTTCTTTTTACCTCCTCTTAGTCTTTTGTCAAAAATATTCCATAGTTGGAGACTGATGCATTTCCTGCTGAGTTATATTTAGGCTGTTCTGAAGCTCTCTTCATACTCCAAGTAAAGAAATAGACTCTTGAAGAGGTCAAGTATCTCAGGTTATCTAGAAAAAAAACAACAGTCCTAGAAAACTGATCCCTAGCTACTTATTTCTAGCTCCATGTGTCATGTGCAGTTATGCCAAGTTCCCACGTTTGCAGACATCTATTTTGAGAAATGTCATTTATTTATAAAACATTAAATCCTGTGTAAGAGCCACACCCCAAAGAATAAACCAAGAATGTAAAAGCAATTAAAACTGGGAAGAAATTATTTAGGTTCATACCCAATAGAGCAGTGATGTACCAATAAACTGGATCATGCCATACATGGTCAAGTATTTAAATACCCCAAAGGATGAAACCAGAGCAGCTCGGCCTTCTCTGTTTGAGAAAAATAAAAATAACTGGTTATGGATGATATACATTTCCCAGTTTCTTTTATATTTCAAACGGAGTTCAGTTTAATAGCTTGTTCATATACCTTCACTTAATCAATGATTCATCCTCTTAATTATTTATTGAGGCGCAATTTGCTCATTCATTCTCTGCTTCAATCATGACCTCACTCACTGACTCATACCGCACTTTTATTTAGGGCTGATGAAGTACCAGCATTCTGCTTAGAGTCGTGGAGGATATAAATGAATCAGGCACAGTCTTTATTTTCAGTGAATTAAAAAGATTAACATGGATATTATAAACACAAGACATCATGATAAGGTGCAAAATGTCAAGCTTTGACTCGTCTGTGACTCGTTACATCCTAACAACACTTGCTTCTGAGAACTGAACTGTGTACGTTTTGGAGTCCCACGGAGACTTCAAGCTAAAGGACAGGTGTTCTCTCATGTTAGGAAGCATGGATGTGACTCCAATATGTGAGATAATGTGGTTTTGTTAGTTTCAATGCTCCAGGAAGAACCCACGGTAATAATCTGAGCTGGGGTGGAGTTCAAAAGACATAAAGACAACAGTAAAAACTGCAAGTTAAAAAGTCGGTATTCCCCTTTTAAAAAATGCTGTTTGAGCTGTTATTCCCTTAACTGAGGCTTGGTTCAAGTGAGGGGTGATGACAGGCAAAGAAGACAGTGCGGGGCAGGAGCTCACTATGGATGAGTGGGGAAACTTGGCAAACAACCTCTCCTGTAGTCTGCTCTTGTCAAGGCAGAAGTGAATTCGCATGGGAGCCCACGTCCTCCCCCGGTGGCATGGACATCTGTGCTGCTCAAACACTTTGTCAGTGGATGGGGTACCCGAGAAGGAAAACCTTAAAAGCCAAACTAGTAACCGTTTCCCCTCAGGCATGATGAAAAGGTTTGGGAGAGACGGGCCAGGATGCGTTGGCCAGATGTTTTCCACCAGGCTGTGAGGCACTGCCATTTGTTTTCAACGCAGAGACTGGAGCAGCTCACAAGCTGAGGAGGGGCCAGCATGTGAAGGCTGGACTGATTTCTCACATAAACTTTGTGGTTTCATCTTTTTTATCCTTTTGTGTGTAACTTTCCAGGAAAATGAAAGCACCCAAATTCAAAGGCAAGTGCAAAAAGCCATCTGAGGAAAGTATAAAGGAGGTTTGCACGGGCCTCCAAAATTACCGCTATTCCTAATGATGATGAATTTTAAGAAGCTAACTCATTTATTTACGCATTCCACAACCATTCATTGAATGTTCTGATGTATCCAGCTTAGTACTGGGCACGATAATATAGAAATGAATGAGGTACAGTCCTTGTCCTGAAGGGCTTCAACTAGAGCAACAAGTCAATCATGTTTCAAAGGATACAAACGAGAACCTGTAGATCTATGCATCTAAAACTGTACCTCAATGCCCCCCTGGAGTATGTTTCCCAGGAATAAGCATGCATCAAGGATAGCAAGGGTAAAATGAGCCTAACAGAGCTGAACCATATCTAATTTTTATGAATCTATGAAATATAAAAGCTAAGAGCTTCTAATCTGAAGTCTTACTAAGCCATCTGCCACTAGAGAAATTTTACATCATGCCTTGGATCTTAAAACACTACATTGCATTCACAAATGCATTAGGTCACATGTGTGAGACAGAACATCTGAAGTTCAAATGCCACTGCCTTTTGGATGGATCAAGTAGGCACTTTGTGTAACTGTCCAAGAGTTTAAACTTCCTCCACACCTGGTGCTCCAGCTTACCCTCCATAACTCCCACCTGAAAAGCTTCCTAGCCCAACTGGGCTATTGGGCTCCTGCACTCTCCAGTTAAAACCCCATTTCTAAACATGGCTCTCCACTTCCCCTACCTGGAATATTCTCCCACCCCCTTCCTATTTACAAACATCCTGTCCATCCTTCAAGTTCCAACTCCCCTGCTAAAATCTTCCTTCCTGGCTTAAGTCATCAACCTGAACTGCTAGAACAATTACCATATTGTTTGGGCATTAATGTATTAAAACTAATTTGTTGAGCACTTCTCACTTATCAGGAAGAAGATTCTCCATTTTGTGACTATATTTCTATCTGTCTGGACCTTTACTGGGATTTGAGTCCTCCAGGGCAAAGATTTGTCTCATCCTTCATCCATCACATTTCCAAGCACAATATTTTAAGAAGTTCCATGAGTGGCGTTGATGCTAGAAACCATGATCTAGGGAGAGGGTCCTGATCACTCTCATTTTGTAGTCACCATGATATGAACCAAAGTTAAGACAGTAGAGAGAGTAAGGAAAGGGCTTGGAGAGAGTCTTTGAAAGACAGATCAGGAAAACACAATGCTTGCTTGGCTATGGGCAAAGAAAGGAAAGAGTTCAAAGCGCTCCAAGGTTCTCAGGCCTCGGAGGACCAGAGAACGCAGGAGTTAGGAAAAAAAGCTGCTCTGGAGGCAGGGGAGGTGCTGATGTTTCAGGGTGTGGAAGGACACAGGTACATGCACGCTGGGATCAGGGAGATGTGTCAAGCTGTCTCGCTGCTATGCAACCAGACACGGGCATGGAATTTCAAGACTGGCACCTTTAGGTGAGTGATTCCTGCTAGTAGTTGCCCATTCAGATGCACATCTGCACCAAGGGACATGCTGGAGAACTTCATGATCATCCTTTTTGAATAAATCTCAAGTTTTGTTGATGACAGACCACTGGCCATGAAGATAGACTGAAGTTACCCAGCCGTGTTATAGGAAGCTTACAGGTGAATAAGATTTGTGAACAAAATATAAAACCTAATGTTTTGTTCTTAGGCACATTTCAAATATGAGTAGAGACAAAATCAGCAATGAGAATCGAGGCAAGGTGAGGGAGCTACTGAGAAAATCAGGTCTTTAATTCCTTCCCCTTCCCTCGAATGTAGTCTTTCATGTGATCATTTTGGATATTCGCCGATTTGTATATTGGAGAGGTAACACTGTTTGGGAAAGCTATCTGATGCAGTGTTCCATTTGTGCTTCTTCATGCATCCCAATCCCGGTGAGGAGGGTTCCAGTATGCACCCAACATACAAAATAAGGGAGAGGAGAAGGAAGAAATGCAATTGGTTTTTAAATATCAACTCCACCTTTCAACTATCCACATGATATCGCCTTTCATCCTGTAAGCTTCAGCAAAAGTCACTTTTTGGGTGGCTTTTACTAGCATTCCCAAGCAGCACGAATGGCCCCTTCATTGGTGCACTGGTAGCACTTTACCCATACTTCTGTTGTGACATTTATTGCTTTAAATTATGGTTGAGTTCTGTCCAGAGTCAGATAATGAGCCCATCGGTCATGAGGGTGGAAAGGGAAGTAGTGGCTTACTTGATGAGCTGAGGCACGCACTCGATGTTGGCTGTTTTTGAGGTGAAATGGGAGGCCACAGATGCCTCCTGCTCTGACAGCGAAATGCCCACATGAGCCATTTTCAAAGCCTACAATGATAAATCCATGTTACACCCAGGACTCTTCGGGCCAGGTTCTAACTCTTCAAAGACCATGAGGCTATTCTTCACATTGTCGAGTTTATAACACGGTAGCCTTCCAGACCCAGGTCTGTACTTATGCTGTCCCTCCACCTGGAGTACCCTCCCTCTCCCGATCCAGGAAGTCATTAACTAAGGAAGCAGCAGATAAACAATGATCCTGAGGTAGAAGAGTGGTGGGTGTGTTCGTGTGTGTGTGCATTGGTTGTGGGGATGTAGATGTGATAAGAAAATGGAAGCACTCATTCAAGAAGTCCATGAAAAAGATGACAGCATTTGGGTGGACATTTGTGGGTGGCCTTCCCTATCACAATTCTTACCACTCAGCAGGCCATCTTCATTAACAAAAGGAAAAGATATCTAAAACCCACTTTTCCTGGGTGGCCTGATCTAGCCAACCAGCTAACTGCTGGGATGAAGTATGGGGCGTAAGGCATCTTCACTGGAGACAGGAACGCGATCATACACATCATAGATCATTCCAGGGCATGTGTTGCCTCACTAAAATAAAGGTTGATTCATTCTCATCAAGACTGGAAGCAGCCCAGAGAGTGCAGAGAGCAGACAGTGGCTAATTAACAGACCAGCAAGTTCTTAATCCTACAAGAATTGTCTGAGCATAAAATGGGATTTCATACTTCTGTAGTTCTGTAGTACTGCAAGGTATCTTGTTACCATGGCTGGTACACACTAAATTCCTGTTCAATAGATATTAGAATATTTGCTTTTTCCTCTTTTCTTCCTTAGTATTTTGTTTCTCTATTACATATTTTAGGACCATCTACTTTATATTTGGGTTAATATTATGCAAGATTCTTTCCCCAGCCAGATAATGAATTTTAGGGAGGCAGAGACTATGTCCTTTTTAACACTTATTATTTCTTTTGTTCTAAATTCTACATAACTATGGGAATTGGTACTCATTTTAGGTTTTGAAGAGCAGGCTAACAACTGGCTTCTCATGAAGCATAAGGTAGAAAAATTTATAATAGATCTTTAAGTGTGAGCACAGTTTTTCACAGAACTTTGAAGAAAATATGTAAAAGGAAAGTAAAACAACTACCTAGATCTTAAGTATCTAACAGGCTTTGGAAATACAAAGAAATTTTCTTCAGTTTTGTACTGAAAATATTTTCTTATGTACATAAATCTTCAAGGTAGGCTACTGTTTCAACGATCTTCAAAACTCAATCTAAAACATGTGCTGCCTTCTACTGTGTATGGGAAGTAATCTGTTGAGAATCATTAATTTAGGCTTGTTATAGTTTGTAATAGCCAAATAATTTGGTCTATGATTTCACTGATGGTAAGAATTTGGTGTTAAAGCCAACTTTTAGAAACTAACCCTGGAGAAGTTTAGCAGGAAAAAAATGCAGTTTATACATAATTCAAAACTTTAAATCATCCATTTTAAATGTTTTTTTCACTAAGCCTTTACCAAGTTGTGTGCCTTCAGGCAAAATAAATAAATAAAGAAAAAGAAAAAGAAAAAAGAATTCACCTCCCTGAGATTCACTTTTATTTGATAACATGAGAGATTTAAACCAGCTCATCTTGTAAAGTCCCTTCTGGGTCTGAACTACAGGAGTCTAAGTAGCCTTTCCTTGTCCTTTTTATTCTAGGAGTTGTCAGAAAACAGCAGAAGTGGCTCATCCGACTTTACACCTCTCAGCATTCAGCCAACACTCAGGTGTGGGGAATTTAAACAGCAAACTAATGAAGTGATTGCTGGCAGAGAGGTGAAGAGACAGACCCCAGGGAACCGTGGGGTTCTCAAAAGGGACAGTAGGGAACCACTTCCGTTGGTTGAAGTCATTTCTACTCACCCCACAGTCATTAGCCCCATCTCCACACATGGCCACATAGTAACTGTAAGGGAAACCATGAGAAAAATTAATGCCTTAATGCCTCACTTGGATAATTTTCATCACAACCAACTCACATGCGATGTGTGTGTGTGTGTGTGTGTGTGTGTTTTGAACACACCTGGAATCAGGCTGATGGAAAATGACTTGGAGAGATACATTCCGGGAGGAATAAGGCCATTGTATTATTTAAATTGTTTCAATCACATAGAAAGGATAGTGATTCTGCCAAAGACGTCCACCAAAATGATTATACATTTCGAAAGAAGTCCTGGGTGATTGTATCGACTATGGCTAAGCTTCAGAGCGTACAGGCATAATCACAGCACTTCCCACACCTAACGCACAGATATAACCTAATCCATCTGTGTTTTGGTGGCTGACACCATTGAAAGTTTAGAGTTTAGACACTAGGAGGAGAAATGCTTGGGAAATGGTTGAACAGATAGAACCAGAGATACAGACACATAATCTTGACGCACCCTGGAGTGATATGAGATAATGTGCTGTAGTGCTTTGATGTGCAAACACAAAATATAAATAGAAGAGTAAATATAAAGCTGTTGCCAAAGAAAAGGAATTTCTGATGCAGGACACTCTCTGTCTTCTCTTATAGGTAAATAATACATTATAGGTATTCATGGCAATACTATTAAAGGCTCAGAGACAATTTGCCAGAAACACACAAAATAACAAAATCAATACAGACAAAAAATGAAGTTCTCAGACAATTTCCTTATTATTAGTTGGCACATAAGAAATGGTCATTTTTATAAGTTGAAAATTGTCAAATGTAAACAAACTCATGAAGTTCGACCTAATATTTGGCGGCTAGACGTGAAGATCCCCCTATGAACATTTCATGTGCTCACACGTGTGTCATGACTACACACATCTGCTGAAATGGCTTCCTTTCTTCAAGCTTGACGCACCTATTTAGTCTTTACATCACACAAAGAATTTTACATCTTCTAGTGTTTCCTGAATGCAGGCAAGAACTTGGACAACCTTATGTGCATTGCCAGTGATAAAGGCAGAAGGAGTAAGACGGGGAAATTGAGAAGACAGTTCATTCTGAGGTAGCATCTATCTTCCTGAATTGATTTTTCTTTAAGGGAATATAGCTTTTCAAACATAAGCATATAAATCGACAAAATTTCTTAGGCCTTTGAGAAGGGTAAAATCACTTTCTTCAGCCACTCTCATATAATGACCATGTAAGTAAAATAGTCATTTTAGATACCGGTTACTAACCCAGCCTCAATGCATTATGGGAGTTGATAGGCAGTTTCTTAAAACTTCTCTAAGAATGCTTTGGCAACAAAAAATAATAGCGAAAGTCAGTCTCCTGATTTTACCTACTACTTCTTGGCAATTATGTGAAGTTTCACTGGTCTCCTTTCCTTTTCACTTTCCAGAAATCTGTAGCCCAGAAATTGTAACATTCCCAGAAAGTTATAGGTAGGTCTGGTGTCAAGAACTATTTCATTCTGATGTGACTCAGTCATCTATATTTTTTAAAGGACATAAGAAAGGACTTTTTTTTTTTTTTTTTGGCCTCTATACCCAAACCCCAGCCAGGGTCAGATAAAGTGAAAATATCACTCCACCTCTTTCCTAGAAGACCTGAAATCATTCACATATCTTCTAATGGACCAACGTTAAGTAATTCCAGGTGACGACTCACACACTTCCCCATTTTTCCTGTTCTGAACTACACAAGCCCCTATTTTTTCTATTCTCCACATTCAAGCCGAGAATCTTCCTCTGAGTTATGCTGTAGAGGCCGCAGAAGGAATGCTGTCTGGGGTAAGCAGCTTCCAAAATGGCTCTCTGTGATTGCCACTTCTTGGTATTCATAATGTTGTATGAAGCACTTCCTTGAGTGTGGGCTGGACCTAGTGACTTTTTTCTCATGAAGAGAATACAGCAAAAGTGACGGGCTATCACTTCTAAGATGAGGATATAAAAAATCGTGATCTCTCTCTCTCTCACTCAGTCTCTTTTTGCTTGCTCACTCTTGTGGAAGCTAGCTACCACACTGTGAACTGCCTTATGAAATGACCTATGTAGCAAGGAACTGTGGGTGGCTTCTGTCCAACAGCCAATGGAAAACTGAGACTCTTAGCCCAACCACCCACAGGATCTAAATCCTGCCAACAACATGCAAGAGAGGCTGGTGGCAGGCCCCTCCAACTCCAGCTCTGAGGGAGCTGCAGTCCTGGCAGACACCTGATGGCAGCCTTGTGAGAGACCCGGAGCCAGAAGACTCCACTCAGCACACCCAGATTTCTGACCCATAGAAATGAAAAATAATAAATAGTGTTATTCTAAGCTACTAAATCTGGAGGTAATTTGTTACACAGCAATAGATAACGAATACACTCTCCTCTTTCAAGCAATAATACCTACTTTAATTTTTGAAATTCTTCAACAAGACTAGATTTCTGTCCAGGAGACATTCTTGCAAAAATGGTTCCATTCACCAGCATCTAAAGAGAAAAACAACTATTGCAATAAGGTTAGGATGAAGTACACTTTTTAAATAAAAGAATAGCCCTGAAAATCATTCCTGGCCACTGTCTGAATATAGCCTTGGGAAGTATGTCATCAGTCCAAATGTCAGGACAGGGAGAAAGGGGGGACTTGGTGCTTTACTATTCAACTTTCACTTTCATCCCCCATCACAACTTTATGATTTCCTTCCAGGCCATTTTTCTGAGATGGGATAACCTTGAGTTAATAACTGGAAAGCAGCAGAGCATATAGGACAAAAAGGCTTAAGGAAATATAGTTCTTTTTACTAAACACCATCTCCACAATTGCAGCATAGGTAAAGGAAAAGCAACAGATGAAGAGTGGAGAACCAAGGTTCTATTCTCAGGTCTGGTCCAACTAGCTGGGCAAACCTTCCACAAGGGACCTTACCTCTCTGAGTCTCAGCTGCCCCAACTCCTCAAGGAGGAACTGCACTAACAGCTTTCTAGAAGCCTCTGGGGTTGAGATTCAATGGTCCTTGACTGATAAGGCAACAGAATTTTCAAGAAACTGCTAACAGATGGTTGCTGCCCTCAGCTTGTGCTCCACTTATCTCTTTCACACTGACAGCACAACCCTGCACAGCACTATTTTTAAATAGACACACAGAGGACAAGATAACAAACGATTTTGAAAATAAACCATGGGCCTTTGTTTCCTGCTGTTGTAATTTAAGAATCCAGACAGGACAGGGAGTAGAGCTCAGCCTGACATTGAGTTGGTGGCTTTCAGAGAGAGGCTGACCCACAAAACAGGCAGAGCATTTGGAAATATTTGGAGATACTCCCTGCTGGGGAGGGAGAGATAGAGGAAGGCTGAGATTGGGCTGGCCATGAGTCCGAGGAGCTGGACCAGAGCTCAGACTCTGAAGAAGGGCTCATGCACATATGCAGGACCAGGTAGGGCTAGAGAACTTCTGAAGGAGCAGTGCCCCTTTGGGGATGTTTATTCCCCAAATCTGAGATAACCTCACTGATCATCACCTTCACTTCTCTCTTCTTTTTCAACTCACTAATTTGAGAGCAAAACAAAACACTTCATTTCACCAGTACTTACTTTTGGAAGCAAGCTGTTGAAATGCTGAAATATCACTTGGTATGACTTCCCACTCATTGCAAAATGGTAACAGCTCCCTCTTGCTCCATCAGGCACTGAACGGTTCCCAATGTTAGGGTAGGTTTCCTAAATTCAAAAGGGCATAGTTTCCACATGGGTTCTCAAGGAATGTCTCTGCTTTCCTGTGTTTTATGGAAGGAAGTGTGTTTAAATTACATAACAGTGGGAAGGCCAGCAAATACATAATGTATAATTTGTCCATGGAACTTAGACTTGGATGAAGAAGACACTCCTAATGTCCTCCCCAAAGTATATGAACATATGAGACATTGACAACATAATGCTTGGGATCTTGTCCTAGGAGATAATACATGTAATATTAGTCTACTAAGGAAATCCTTCCAAGGTACCAGTTAATGATTCCAAAGAAGAGTAGAAAACATTCTTTCCTCATCTTTCTTCTCCTCTTCTTGCCGACTTTTATTTCCGAAGATCTTTTACCATTCGTTCATTCATTCATTCACACATCATGCCCCAATTTCTTCCCTGTAAGATAGGCAGACTCCTTCTTTGGAGCCTAACTCCTTATAGCACTTGCCTTCTCCCCACCTCAACAGGTGACACGCTCCCTCACGGTGCCCAGCTCCTCATGCATATCCTATGTGCCATTGCACCAGTTCGACCCCTTTGCTGAAACCCTTTCTCTCCTGCCCTCCACCTATCAGTGTGTCTCATCATGCATTCTAGCCCCACCTGGTCAGCCCCAAGAGAGAGCTCCAGTGAATGCACATGCACTCATTGTGCCAACAGCTGATCATGTTTTTTCATGCAATGTTTCTCAGAGGTCCTTACATTAGTGTAAGACTCTGAGTTCAAATAGTATAAAAGGTGAGAAATTTTTTTCATTAGAAGGATCCATCTGAGGGAAAGCATTGTTTTGGGAAGAAAAACATTTTGATGTGCTGAATTGGGAGGCAAAGCAATACACCCCTCCCTTTCCATCCCCCATTGCAAAACAGCCAACGAAAGATATGCTTAAAGCATTCCACATGAGGTAAGGACAGAATTCCTTTTGTTTTCCCTGGAAAGTTAGAGACGGAAAGTGTGGTGGGAGGGAGCCAGAGAGGAGGGGAAAGCCTGAGACTGTGATGTGACTTCTCCCTGCAACAACCAAAAATTCAGTAAAGGTATTACACAGGTGAATGGGTAGTGTGAGTGGACTGTTTGTTAAAAATTAGTGAAGACCTGAGTTTTATCACATAGTGTAATGGAGGCAGCATGCATTAACACAGAAGCAAGTGAATTTGCAAAGAAATAAGCACGAGAAATCTGCTGAAAACATAGAGCTGCCATCTTTTACAGCCAATGCAATGGGGTTTGCGCCAAGTAGGGGCAAAGTCACTCTGTACAGTTGTGCAGTTTGTATACTGAACAAGGCCTACTCTGCACTTAACAATCCAAAGGGCTGGTCAGTCTTGAGGAAGGGAGTATTTCTGTAATTTACCACCTTGAGGACCATCTCCTTGAACTCACATGTAGGCAGAGGTGCTACATTTAGTGATGGGATGTCAGGCTGCTGCTCATTTTCTTCACAAAATCATAGGAAGCTTGCTATCTAGAGAAGCCCAACCCCTGTTAACTTCATGTCATGGGCACAGCAAATCTAAATACCCATGGATCTGGGTGCAGTCAGACAGACTTAAATTTTATTTCCTGATTTGCCACTTGCCAGTTGTGTGTCTTGGGTAAGCTTACCTTGCTGGGCCTCGGTTTTCTCATTTGCGAAATGAACAGTTTGTCAACTGTATAGGCTAACTGTGAAAATCAAATGGGAAATATGGGTGTAAATCATTGGTTCTCAGCCATGACTGCATATCAGAATCTTGAGGATAAAAGGGCTAGTGCAAGCTCCCAGCCTAGAGATTTGGATTTAATCAATGAAGCCTTGACACTGGAAGCTTAAAAACTCTTCCAGGTGATTTCTTTGCACAGCTAGGGCTGAGAAGTGCTGGTGGAAATGCTAAATGCTTTGCAAACTGCAGAACTCTGGACAGCTGTGAGGGGTTTCGACCATGGTGACTTCTAATGCTGAGAGAAGGCTGCTGGGACCAGGGCTATATGCCATCAGCGCAGGCCACCAGGGGGCTTTCTAACATTTTCTCACACTCTTCTGCAGTCCATTCTCTTGGTTCTCGACCAGCTGCCAAGTCACAGAGGCAGGAACAAAATCTTCTGGTTCATTGGCTTCGACAAGGATCACTTGGCTTCCTCTAGGAATCATTTCAGAATTCTTTGCCACAGTAATGGCTGTTTGAAGGTTGTCACCTAGATGACAAAGAGAGTCAGCTTGTTTTCTGTATAAATCTCTTAGCAGCCAGAACTGAGCTCTGCCTCTTCTGAGTGGCCATACCACATTGCTGGTGCTCTTTGGGGGCATTTCCCTCTATCTGCCTTATTTTATAACCATTTGGTAGGCGGAACCTCTTGCCCAAGCCTGTCCCTAGTGGTCAAAATCTATGTCTGTATCTCCCTCCCACAATAGCATCATGTCCTGAACATTGCATATTTTCAAAACAAGCACGAATGAAGAAAGACATGGTTAAGCACTTTATGACAGATCTTCAGGAGACTGACAGCCCTGAGTGGTGAAGGTAACATAGGCCCACTCTCATAACATGGAACCATCCTTGGAACATGGATTGTCATCAAGCAGAGAACAGAACACTGAAAGCTGAGCCATGCTTGGATTGGACCAGCATATGCCATGCCTGCCCCACAGCCCTGAAGGACAATCCAGTAGAGTCTTTACACCCTTTCCACAGAAGTCTCACTGAGGTTCCTGATGAGCACATATGTATTCTTGTGTTTAAACATTTACTGTGAGCTGACTGGCACTGTGCCAAGCCTGGGTAGGGAGAGGGGACATTAGACATAGAGAATGAAGTATGATCCCTGCTACCAAAGCTTATGGTCATGTTAGGGCCGCTGGTCATGTGCCAGGATAATGGGAGCCCAAGGTAACAAATGACAGCTAAGCATTTTTCCTTCTCTCTCAGCCACATGAACTCACTCAGCTCACATGGTCTTTTCTGATTCCTGGGATACATTGAATGTGTCAAGCCTCCAGAAACACGCACCAGTAATCATCACCGTCCTGATGCGGGCTTCACTCAGTTCCTTCAAGACTGGTTTGGTTTCCTTTTTCAAGCGATTCTCCATTATGAGAAGTCCCAGAAATGTCAACTCTGACTCTGCCTTCTCTCTACGGATTCAGGAGAAAATCAATTTTAAAACTTGTTTCTGTAGTCTTGACAGTTGAACTTTATTTTTTCCGCCTAAAAAAATTTCTAAGTTTTATCAATATAATACATGCATATATTTTAACAATCAGAAAGAACCCAAAGCTTGTGATGAAAACCAATAGTCCCCGCCTCCACATCTCCTCACCCCTTCTCCTTCCCGGAGGCAACCACTTCTATATCTTTTGGCAACTTCTCCCAGTTTCAACTCCATTTTTAAAAACAATGTGCTTATCTACAAATTCTGTTGGTTTTTAAAACTTTTGTTAATCATATATATATACATATGTATATTTTATTTCAAAGACCTTTTTTTGACCTTGTAATCGTTTAGACATTGATTAAGTAGGTCCTGCATATGAGATATCATCGTAATAGTCGGATATGGAATCATTCATTTCAACCTCCCTCCGTAACCTCCAGAAAATACATGACATCAGCCAAGCATTTGAAAAGTGTTCAGAATTTGAAATTGTAAGCTTATTGTCTAACTGGGTTACCTTCATTATGTGGAATGGAGTAAATGTCAGGTGACTTTTTCAAAAGTAAATGTGGGGGCCAAGATCTCTTTCTTAATCTCGCATTGTTTCTTTTTCTGTCCAGAGAGGAGTTAAGATTGCAGAAGGAGAGGGAGACTTAGGGATCTAACCTTGCTGTGTACGGTCAGTCACCCCCGATGTTGTGTCCTGTCCCACCACCATCTTCCACAGTATGTGACAGAGCTGAGTCTCAGCCTCTCAGATTCCACAAGGTGAAGCAACTTCCCTCTCCCACCATCTCTCTCTCTGGCATGGTGTAGACTATGCTTTTTCCATCTGCTGATTCAGTTGCCACTCCCCCCGACTTCCTTCACATTTTACGGAAACATACAGAAATCTCTCATCTGCACTTATCGCTTGTCTAGTTTTCTTTGATATTGTTTCTTTTCTATCATGTTGGTGAAACTTGGGAGAGAGAGGAAATAAACACATGGTCAGTAAACCTTTAGGAGAAAGATCAGAGTTGGATTTCTTGGTGAAAAAAATAACTCAAACTTAGATGGGAACATGGTAAAGAAACTTCTCTCTGGGGGTGCTCGGGTGGCTCAGTCAGTTAAGTGGCTGTCTTCGGCTCAGATCATGATCCCAGGGTCCTGGAATCGAGCCCCACATTGGGCTCCATGCTCAGTGGGAAGCCTGCTTCTCTCTCTCCCACTCCCCCTACTTGTGTTCCCTCTCTCTGTGTGTCAAATAAATAAATAAAATCTTAAAAAAAAAAAAAAAGAAACTTCTCTCTGGAGTAGAGAACAAGTTACCAAATCTTCATTCAAAAGTCCATTCACCAAATAACTACTCTGTTTTAGACCTTATAGTAGGCACTTCGGTGAATACTCAGATAATTAGATATGAATCCTGCCTTAGTGATCTCAGAGAATATTATAAAAGAAGATTTACCCAATACAGAATGTGTTAAATTCCCATCATTTAACTTCATGAGTTTCTATTTTAAATTGGACTAATATTTTCTAATTGGCTAGAACTAAAAGAAAGATCCAGAAATCTTTTCACCAGTTTATTCTGGTTTTGGTCTCTATTTTACGACTCTTCCCGTCTTTCACCAATTCAGGCACTTAGGCCTTTTGCTACTCTGCAACATTCCCAGCAAAATCCTGTGTCAGGACCCTTGTGTCCACTCTTCCTATTGCCTGCAATGTTCTTCCTCTGGATATCCACATGCTTTGCTCCCCTATTTTACCCATTTCTCTGTTCAAATGTTACCTCCTCAGAAGACTTGCTTGATCACCCCATGTAAAATGGCATTATTATCTAACTGCCCCCAGTTAGGATATATGCTTCTGAGGGCAAAGATTTTATTTTATTCAATGCTGAGTCTTCAGTGTCTTGAAGAGCATCTCACACAGAGTCAAGCTCAATAGAAATTTGCTAAACCAATGAAAGAGGGAATTTTGATAAAGTATTTCTTCTGTTTTCTAGTTTGGTTTTTTTTTTTTTTTTTTCTAAAAAAAGGAAACTTTTCTACTTCCCTTTTATGATACCAGTTTTTAAAGAAGTTTTTGATTCTCCTGATTGGGAAACTTTGCTGAATATAATTTGATTGTGCTAAAACTCAAAACACTTTTCCTTTTCTCTGTTTGAAAATAGCAACTAAATTTTAAGAAGCATAATAGGAGATTGATATTCTCTACGAAAATCTGAGATGGTTGGTAATCTAGCACATTGTATCATCACTTTCTTATTTTGCTATATTTATAATAATGGCTATCTCTCTAGTAATTTTTAAATGAGAGCATCACAACTGTACTAGTATATGGCAGCTGGGTGGTGACTATCCTTGTCTAGCTACATAAATATTTTTCTTCATACATAACCCTAGCTTTTGTTATTCAAATTTTTTGTCTTGAAATTACAAAATCCTGTGTGTTATGGGTCTTCATGCTTGCTTAAGAATAGCTAACACCTTGAATATTAAATCTGACAGTGCCATTCATTTATTTCAAAATGATCTTTGTGATTCTATTTAGAAGATTAAAATGTCGTGGCTGAAAGGCTCCTTAAAGATGATCCAATTCTATACTTTAGAGATGAGGGAAATAGACACAGTGTAAGGAAGGGACAATGATTCCATTAGAGCTGAGGGAGAGAGGTTGTAAATAGTTACACTGAACCAAGGATATCCACATCTTATGCAAAGGTGCTAATTATATATAATTGAGGGTCTCTCTATCAGCAACACAAAATCAAAGATGATAATGCATAGATAATTTGTTAGTCAATGTTCCACATTATTTCACTATTCCTTGGTCTTAGACAATTTAAAAATAACCTTTAAAAACTGAGAAACATTTTTAAAAAAAGAATCTGCAATTATCCTCTAATGAGGACAATTTATACCCTTAATGTAATGAGGAATACTGAATTCTATTTCATATAACTCAACTTGCACACGCTACCTCTCCAGATCTGAGGGAGGTGTACTATTGAGCCCTGAAAGAATCCAGGTCTGAAGGATGCAGGAAGTCTGTCACAGTGCCCATTGTCTCCTTCTTTTAAGGAGATAGGACCCCCAGTCAGTCAGCCACATAATGTTCCGAGGCTGAAGGAGTGTTGGTTATTTTTGATGGGATGATGGAACGCAGGGCAGAGATAGCTCACTGATGTCTGGGAGTCAGGAGATCTGGACTGCCATCCTTGTTCTACCGCCAACCAGCCTTGTGACCTCAGCAAGTCTTCCCCAGTATGGCTTAGAGTCACCTATTTCCAAATTAGGAGATTGGATGAGATGAGTCTCCATCTCTAGGAGGCTTCCCCGTGATTTGAGTTGTCCTGTCCATCTCCAGCATTCTTTTACCTGATGTACACAGAGCTTACTCTAGTGCCAATTTCTGAGTTCCTTACCGGGCTAATTTCTGTACTTCTGAAAGCTTCTTCATCTTCAAGTCTTTATGGGCAAGGGCAATGACACGGAAGCCTTGTACTGTATAATTCCTCAGTTTCTGTGGGAAATCCTTGGGTACTGTCAAGTGAGAGGAAAGAGGTAAATGTAAGTTCACGTTGAAGGCTACCCAGCTCCTAAACAAGACTCTGGGATCCAGTCACTGTCCCTTGTTTTAAAACTCCAAAAAACACACTTTAATAGAAAAACTACAGCTCCAGCTAAAAGCCACAAACAACTCCATCAGTGTGCTCTTATTATCTTGACAGACATGAATGCCAAAGGTACACTGGTCATTAACTGGGTGTCAAATCCACTGGTTGGGTTTAGTAAGGACAGGCCTCAGGACTGGGTCTACATGAATAAAGTGAGGGAAACAGCTGATCCACTAGACCAGGAGTCAGCAAACTACAGGCCAAATCTGGCCCATTGCTTGTTTTTGTAAATAAAGTTTTATTGAAATGCAGCCATGCCCATTTGTTTACCATCTATGGCTGCTTTGGGGCTGAGTGGTTGAGACAGATACCATGTGGCCTGCAAAACCTAAAGTATTTTCTACCTGGCTCTCTGCAGAAAAGCTTGCTAATCCCTGCTTTAGATGATAGATGATACAACGCCAACATTTATGTATTTTGGCATAGCAGTCATAACTAATATTAAAATACTGATATTTATGGTTTATAGAATACCTATGAAGGTATTAGAAAGAAGCACAGCATTATGGAAGTATATAGTGTCTTAGGTAGCAAAACACCTGATTTCTAGTCGCCACTCTACTGCCAACTAGATCTCTGACCTTGGGCTTGTTAGTTCTCTCTTCTATACCTCAATTTCCCCATTCATAGAAGGAGGGGGTATGGAAGTCTATGTTCCCATTCAGCTCAGACTTTCCATAGTTCTAAAATGTTCCAGGGGGTGGGGATCAAGGAAAATCCTGGCTCTCTCCATTTCTTAAATACAGGGGGAGAAATCACTGCAGTCGTTATTAGCATATGTCAAAGATCTGAGGTAAGGACAATAAGAAGAATTGAAAGTGCTACCAGAAGGATGAGAGGTGAGAAATGACAGGCCCAAACACTCACAATAGAGCAGGGGCAATAGTCATCAAAAATTTCAAGAAGATACTTGTATCTGTGAGGCTGAAAAAAAATTAAACACCAAATATAGGCCATCAGTCTGTGAAAGATAGAGTGATAGAGGTAATGGGAGCTCTGAGACAGATCAAAGTCCAAAAAAAGGGGCTGCTTCTAAGGTAAAAATGGCTCTAAGTAGAGGAAGAAGTTAAAGCAATCATTTGCCAAATCTAGAATTGTGTGCACAAGCTGATGGCTATCAGCAATCATAAGGAGAATATAGATGAAAATCAAGAGAAAAAGACCAATTTTACCCAAATGAACTCATTTGAATGCAACAATATTCTTACAAATCTGGGCTGCCGCTTAGAGGGTGCATAGGTTTATAAGACTAAGAAACAATACAAATCAGCTGAAAATCTAGCCTAGAAAGATGAAATTGCTGTGAAAATGATCAATTACATTGCTCTAATACCATCTAATTTACTCTAATCACTTTTTTTGCTAAGAGATTTATCTTGTCTGTATTCTCCTTCCATTGATCTGCACAAGGCCCTTATGTGTTGACAGCCCCCAGAGGTGGTGGGCGGAGCACCCCAGCTGCAGGATGAGTGCAGGAGCCAGACCTGTCCCATTGGTTCCCAGTGCATGTTCCTCATTCTTACCCTTCCTGGGGATCCTTACATCGCTTCCTGTTTTGGGTCCTGATGTTTGCTTCACATCTCCTTCCCTGATACCCCATTGTAGCTGGACTTTTCTGGATGGACCAAAGCCAGATATTTACTCTCTGCCTGTCTGCCTTGAAATTCTCATCTCTGCCTTATCATACTGGGCCCACTTCTCACTCACTGAGAAAATAATCACCTCCACATTCATTGATTTAGACTTGTGTGTTTCATGTATTTGGGCTTCTAAAATATTTTACCTCCTGAAAGAGAACAGGGTCAATTAAATGAGTACCTGTTTCAGACTTGCAGAACTTGGCCAGCATCTCTGGGGCACCCTTCATGTAGACATGGAAGTGATCCTCCCCTGCCATCTGAGCAACCACAGACATCCTCTGCAGACTTGAGGAAAATGGAAACTGATGCAGGATGGCTATGGCTTCCACAGGACTCTGTGAGAGCACCAAGAAAAGGGAGCCTAAGATGCCTGTAAGTGAGATTTAGCAGGTGCACACCAACAAACAGGGTTTGCTATGCAATGAACCCAGGGACATCATGAGGTGGTGCATTTGTCACAACATTGATACTTTTCTGCCTGTCTCTAAGGTGATTCCTTCTTCAAGTTGTCTGGTCTGCAAGGCCTTCCCCATGGCTGCCTGGAGAGATCCTAATTATCTTCCAGGCAAAGTTCACAGGTCACTTCATTAGTGGTGCTTCTCTCTCTCAAAAACAGTATTCACTCCCACCTCTGGACTCCTGCAGCTCTTTCTTCAGCCTTTATTATAGCACTTGGCACATTGTCTTGCACTTATTTGCACCTATATGGATTTTTCTACCCACCCATGTATTCCTCCAACACAGAGCCCAACACATCTAGCTCTGAATTCACTCTATCCTTTAGCACATAGCATAGTGCTGTAGCATACATAGGTACTCTGTGAGTGTTTGTTGAATAAATTAAAGGGCAGTTTCATGAATAAATTAAGGGATATATTTAGGAATCAAGGAATGAGCAAACCTATGAATACTGTTAGGATAAGGCAAAATAATAGGAATATAAAAATACGTGAAAGTCAGGGGAGATTTACCAGTTCAAAGGAGAAAGAGCCATCTGCTTTAAAAAAGCAAATCATACCCAACTGGATTTTGGTCCTGGTTTTATTATGATGTTTGAATCTGACATCCCAAATTTGTAGTAGTCTGCATTGCAATCTTCCATTATCTGTTTTGAAATGAAAATGTTCATAAGATTCCTTAGAGAAAAATAATAAGAAAGAAATACCTCTCATTTGCATAGTACTTGAATCTTTTCAAAGCCCCTTTCACATATTTTCTCTTCTAGGCCAATTATCTGAATACCATCATTGTCAAATTTCTGTTGATTGATTTATATTAAGGACCTTATTGTAGAATGTCAAAAAGCCAGAAATATGTGACTACAATTTAATAGTAACTGATGGAAGAAATGCTAGCTACAGGCCAATGGTTCTTCCTGAATGGTATGTCTAGTAACTTGACGAGAGTTTGTAGAGACATAGTCTCCAATAGAGCTGAGCACATTAGCCCTCAGATAATTTAGGATTGGGTCTTGAGATAAACATGGGATTATTTTTTATTCTATATCTATGTTACTAACCTAATTGCTTAGCTAGAGAATTAGCAAGTTAGTTGCTCTCAAATTAGAATGCACATTTGAAAATAGTTTGTATTCCTTGGATGTTACAACAGTATAAGTTATACCATCTGAGAAACCAATATTGACTGAAAATACAGGAAAGGCCGTCCATTGTACAAATCAGAAAATAGGAGACAACATCTGGCCTCTGCCCTATCACTCTCCTGTTTAATCTTGGGGACATTACTCCATTTCTCCAAGTCTCAGATTTCTTCCGAAAAATATTCTGATATCCCTTCTAGCGCTAAAATTCTTAGAGTCTACGAGGACATTTCCCGCCCCCCCTTATGTGTCATGAAAGGTTCCTAACCACCAAAGGATATTTAACTGGAGACTCCTTCTCACCTAGCTTTAAACTCAGCAAATCACCTTGTACTTTCATGCTTTGTTTGGGGTGGATACCACTGTTCTTAAAGACAGTGCTTTTTACAGAGCTAATACTAAAGATGTATGTTCCCATGCAAGGCCCCAACTTGTATGTTATTTGTACAAACAGATCAACACCCCTCAATGGAGAAGAGGCACTGTCAGAACCAGGACCAATGTCACATATAGTAATAATGACCCTAAGCAGCTCATCATTGTGTCAACTCAAATGATGCTGCTAATGACATTATTTGTAAGGATTACACTGATTCTTCCCCCATTAAGATCCAGGAAAGTGATTACTGCTTTGTCTTTATGTCAAAAGTTTCTCCACAACAAATGCTCGAATTTTAACTTACTGATATCAGAAATTTCCCTCTTAACCAGGTTTCCTCTTTCATTACTTTGGCTTCTAGAAAGCTACAATTTTCCCACTATCCATCTTTAAATTAAACTTTGTGAGGTGTATTTCATGTCCCTGCAATCATTTGTTTTCATCCCTTCACCATTCTGTTTAAATGCTGTCCTGTAGTTGATGTATTATTGTCAGTAGCTTTAAAACATTTTTTTTGAGAACAGAATAATGTAATTAATTAAATAGTGAATGAATGAGTGGCCTCCACTTGTTGGGCACTTTACAGTGCAAACAGCCCCTGTAGTCTCATAGGCTCAATGCTTACCACAAGCCTGTGAATGAGGCATCATTATTATAAATGCACACATGAGGTAACAGACTCAGAGTCTTGGTTCTGGATTTGGGGTCATGTAGCTAGAAAGTGGTGGAGTTGAGAGGTCTGCCCACCATGTCACGACAGCCACCAGGATGGTTTTATACCCCTTAACTGTCATTCATACTCAGATCAGAAAACTAAGCTGGTTGAACTGGTGGACCTTCACTTTGGTGTCTAGACCTATACTAACACAGTAGCTACCAGCCATTTGTGGTTATTTACATTTAAATTAACTAAATTGAGTAAAATTAAAAATTCAGTTTCTCAGTTGCATAGCCACATTTCAAGTAGTCGATAGCCACATGTGGCTAGTGGCTAATATACTGAACAGCACTGCTTTAGGCTATTGTTTCTCTGAGTGTGTTACGAAGATTAATTGTACCATGTTTTGGCCTGTCAAGGTTTTGTGGTCAAGTAGGTTTGGTAAATGCTGCATATCGTAGTCACTCTTGAATATTCACAGTGTACTACAATTTATTAAAGAAATCCTGTAGTTAAGAAATCAACTTTACTTTCTTAAAATAGCAGTTCCCAAAATTATTTGATCATGGAACACTTTCATGTTGCAATCATTAACAGAGTTCTTTGGAGCAGAGGTTGGGAAATTCAGGTAGAGTCAGACCTTCATTCACATATTGTTATAAATCTTCTCTGGGTTTCAACCAAAGTTAGAAAAGCTTTGCCACTCCCAGTAAGGATCCCTTCAAGTTTTTCTCATTTAGTCATACCAAGAAACTATCACCTTACCCAGGCAGTGCCCTCAAACATTTTGAGGTCCAGTGGGTCTCCCTGGATGATCCCATTGAGAAGGATCAGAGAGTGGCAGCTGGCCATGGCAGCACACAGTGGGCTCCACGGCAAAGCCTTGCCTGAGGCAAAGCTATGGACTTCCTGAAAACTGATAAAGAAGATGATTAATAAGTGAAGGTCTTCAAGAAAATCATTTTACACATTCTGCCCCTTAAATCTTACCAATATAGAGTTTTAATAATACTCAACTCTTATGATCAAATTCTTCCATAGCTCCCCATGCCCTATATGATAAAGTCTGAGCACTTGGATATAATCACAGAGACTTCTGTCAGATTATTGCAGCCAGGACCTATGGTGGGAGTAGTAGTGGAAGGCTCAGACTGACACTTGCAAGCTCTGCAGAGTAGGCTCTAGAAAGTCACACCCCAGGCAAGAGGTCTCTGGGCCAGTGAAGTAGCAGGGATGGGAAGGAAGACTGCCTGCTGGTTTCTTTTTCCTTCAAGTAAAAGCTCATCTCGACTCTGAAATGTTTCTCATAACTCAGCCCTTTGCTCTTTGTCTTATTTCCTGAAACTCCTGTCATGGATGTCCAGCATCTGAAGCTCACTTTCCTCTATGACAGTAGACTGGCTGGATTTACATTCCCCTCCTCCCATTTTACAGCCAAACAATAATTGTATCCAGTTTTCTCTATACTCCAAAATCTTACTTGGGGAAAGGGAAGGAAAGGAAGGATGAAAGCTGCAAACATCCCATTCCCCTTTCACTAGTCTGGCCAATAAAGGGCAAAGCGGTGCCTGTCTGGACAAAAGCCTGGCCCAGCCATCTGAGCAGCCAGGAGCTGAACCACATGAGTAGGGATGAACCCAAGTATCTTCTGCAATGTCGCACTGCCTGTCTGCTGTTATCTTTTGCCAGAGCTATGCCTGGCCCCATCACTGCCTTGGGGAGTTCTTGCATGACTTCTTCAATGACAGAGCCTCAGCCATGTTTGGAGCCAAGGTGGAGTATCCAGAGCTTAAGAGCTGGGGGATTTGCACTTGGACTGAGAAGGCAGATCTCAGCCCCACAGAGAAGGGAGCTAGGGCCCTCCCCTCTCTAACTCCATTCTGGGGTAACGTCTCTGTGATTGCTCTCCCCCCTCCCATGGCCAGCTTTTAGCCCATGTCTATAAAAATTTTAGCCATATATGCTTCAAGATTCTATTTCAAGTGGTATCTCTGTCAGATAGTTTTCCTCATTCTATTCATTTTCAAAACTAATTTCTACCATTTATCTACTATGTTATTCTAAAATCCAGGACTGTGTATTATATCAACCAATCATTATCATTTCTTCTTCTCTATTCTGTTATGTGTGCCTTAACAGTAGCCCTTTCCACAGCCTGTATAGTGTATAGAAGGTGGGTGCATTTGTGCCTTTTTTTCCCATGAGATGTGAGCTCTGTGAGGGAGGGGACAGAGCTCTTCTTTTCTGGACTACCTGCCTCCAACCACCACTACCACCAGCCCGCTAGCCACCAGCAAGTCTTTGCAGTTTTTAATTAAGCACAGTTCTGATTTCACCCTTTATTCCTCTGTTTTATTCATTCAATTCCTTACTCATCCAACTCATTCTATTTTTCATGTGGAGTTTGAAGGTCTACTTTCCCTGTCTGATTTTGTACTTAGAACTCATTTAAGTTAACAAATTAGAATAACTGGGAAGTAGTTCTAGTAAATTATTATATATATTTTATGTGACACTCATCCCTCACCACTGGGAGGATGGATCTGAGTAGCACGAAGATAGCCACACCAATCCCACATTCCATCTTTGCTAAAGTGCCTACCGTTTGTCAGCAGTTGGGATGGTCCCCCAGAGGTCCAGCCCATCTTCTGTAAGAGTGCCAGTCTGGAAGAAATTAGAATTGGTGTTAACATAAGATTTAGAGCTTTTAATTATATCATGACTTAAACAAAACCCAAGCTCCCAAGAAATTAAAGTAGATCTAGTTGTCCAAAGCCCTTGTTTGTAGACATCAAATTTTAAATCAGAGAAGGGTACCTGAAGGAAAGAGTCAACAAGTGACAAATGATTCCCCAAAAGCCTATGTTGATAATTAAATGACTCTAGATACTAGTCATTACAATAAAATATGAGTATTCTGTTTTTGTGTGTTTATTGTTGTACTTGCTGTTGTTAAACAAGAGGCATTCAGTGAATGGAAATCCAATAAGAACAAGAGCGAGTTTGACTTTCAGTTGGCACCTGCTCTCTTTCTAAAGCAGAGCTCAGAGTTTTTTCTTTCTTTTCAAGACTATTTAGTTCATTGTCTGCCATCTGGTTCATAGCAATTTTATGGGTGATGTGGTGACTGTCCAGATTGATAATGAAATGTTGATAAAGGGCTTTGAGAGTTTAGAGAGAAATGAAGTGCTAATAATAAATATTCATTAATGCCCATGAATGGGTTTTATTGTTAGATCAAGAGGGAAATGGTCGGGAGATTTGATTTGCTGTATTATGAGGGAGTATTTGTCACATAATGTAACAGAGAAAGCAACATGAAACTAAGTACTATCACAGCACTTTGAATTTGCTCATTGCTTCAGAGTCCACTATTAATTACAGACCCCAGTGTCTTTATGCAAGAAGCCAACTCCCTGAGTAAGCACGAGGCCCCACTGCTTCAGCACTGTCAAGGCTGAGCAAAGCACTACTAAGGGCTGGGGTGTATCCCTTTTTGCTACTGACACCCAGGTCTCTGTCATCATTCTTTTAAAAGTCATTTCTGTATTAGACAGTGAATTTCCTAGTCTTCTTTCAAATGACATTTCTGTCATTAGAAGACATTAAGTCAGCATAATGCTTTACAATGAAGTGCTTACAATACTTCCAATTTTTACAACTGAATAAACAGGGAAGGGACATTCTCAGGTTAGAGGTGAAATGAGCAGCCTCAAGGTCCAGTGGCCTGCATGTTGAAGAGAAAGAACCAGAATCCAGCCTGCCTAGACAAATGTTAAATAAATTTTGCAAAATATACAGAAAGACAAAACCCACACTGGACTTCCAATTAAAGAATGAAGGAATCTTGGTTTCGTTAATTCATTTGGACTTCACAGAAAGCTAACACGCTTTGTGTGAATTATTCCTTGAAGAACAACAGCAAAAATCTATTCGCTTCATTTCCCTTCTGCATTTTATAAGGGTCCCAACCTGTGTGTTTAGATTTCAAATCCTCTTGAGTTGTTCCATTTCAAAAAACATTAGCAGCTTAATTCAAACTGAAATGTTTTCCTGATGACCAGATTATATTTTTTAAACATCAATATTTTGAACATGAAAACAGAATTGATACTGTAGCAAAACAGAAATGGGACTGTGTTATTTCTCTATGTGAAAATGATCCTTATACAATAAAACTAGCCATGAACAGAAAGAAAACTAAATTATAGTTACAGTTGTAAAGGGAGTAAGACAGAGAAAGCAAACTTCTTAGCATAAATACTAGCCCAGGCTTGGGTTGAACTGGATAGAAAAGAGAGAATTTGTTTTATAACAAAGCAACGTAAACTAGAAATACATGAGAACAGATGTACTCAGAAGCCTGGTGGTGAATGTCTTCTAAATGGAAATAACAGTAGATGGGGCTTCAATTAATTGTGGGGTGCTTTATTCCAACAGCATATTGGTAGAGTTTTACAATGTGAAAGCTAGAAAGACACTTAGACATCATTAGAGTTCAAACTTCTCCTAAAAGGGCACACAGAAACTTAGTGCCAGATCCAGGATTTGACTTCTCATTTTACTGATTCCCAATCCAGAGTTCTTTGCATTATAACATGCTGTCATGCCACTGGGGTTTGGCCAACCGTGCTGCGGAGCAGTCCCTCAGTTGTTCTAGCACGTGAGGATGCAGAGGAAAAAAACTTTTTATGAGATGTAAAATGAACACCCTCTAGAAGAATTAGTTTTAGAAACAGATGAATATGTAATGAACGTGTTTTATAAAACTCCCTCTTATATTACAGGCACTAATGAGGCTTCTGGGTGAGTATTGGGAATCCCTCCCCAGAAAACTTCCCAGGGGCTGTTCTCTGATCCTAAAACTAAAAGGGAGTTACTGTTAAATTAACCCTAGTGGTTCCTGACAAGTGGGATTAAGGGCTTTCTTTGCCAAAGGAAACTCAACAACAATAGAATAGAAATAATCTTAGAGTTGTTCTACTTTCAGCAGGGGGCCAAGACTCATCAAGTCTACTCATGGTGTCTCTCCAGCTGGTCCTCTACTCTCCATTCTTGCTCTCCTTGCCTAAGACAACTTCTATCAAATGACATTTCTGTCATTAGAAGATATTAAGTCAGCATAATGTTTTACAGTGACGTGCTTACAATGCTTCCAATTCTTACAACTGAGTAAACAGGGAAGGGACATTCTCAGGTCAGAGGTGAAATGAGCAGCCTCAAGGTCCAGTGGCCTACAGGTTGAAGAGAAAGAACGTTCCCAGATAACCTCCTGTTATCTAGTCCTATCTCCCCTCTGTCCCTTCTCATCAATTACCCCAGATTAAATGAATAAAATACTCCTATAAAAATGTTACCCATCTTCTTAAAAAATGGTAGGGCTCCCATTCTCCTTCACGACAAGGCTCCACTCTTTAGGTTGGCATGTCAGGCCCCGAACAATTGGGCTCGCTCCTCTCTCCAGCTATATCCCCTACCACACGGCCCCCAATCTAGCCACACCCCACTGTCCTCTGTCCCCCATGTGCCACAGGCCCTGACATCCCTGTGCTTCTGATTTGCTTGCCTCTGAGCCCAGGGTCCATTTCGTCTAACAACCAAAGCCATAGCTCAAAAGTGACCTCCCACCCAAGGCAGGTAACTTCACCTCAATGCTTTGTTCATACCTCTTTCAGCATGCATTTCACTGCATTATCATTGTCTACACTTCTGTTTTACCTGCTTCCTCAGCTAAGTCATGAGCTTCTGCAGAGCAAGGAACATCTCATTAATGGAGCTCTTGGCCAATGTAGATAAGTTTAAAGGTGGCAAAGCCTTTATCAACTATTCAAATGTGAATGAAGTGAAGACATGGAGGATCCCACTGTGTTACAGCAGTTAAATTGGCCTGCCCAAGCAGAGGGCAGGATCTGAATAGCAGGTGACTGAGGCTGAGGTCCCTGCAGGTCTCCCATAGGAGAGGCACAGGAAGGGGTCTCAGGACCTGTCCCAGACTAGCAATCCTCTGCATTTGGACATACCTCTCCCCTGCCACTTCCAGGACCCTAAGCAGGGACACATTCGCTAGTCCGGAGTTTTGCTAACCTGGGGATCAAAGGAGAAAGGAGGGACTGAGTGCATAAACACAGCCATGGTCCCCTCCCTTCCTTTCCTTAAAAGAAGCAGAGGAGAAGAAGGGAATATGTTCAATTAAGCACCAGACAAAGCACTTCAGGGAACAGAAGTGTTCCTCACATTCTTTTTGCCTGAAAAAGCCAGTCAGTCATAAAAATTATTATAATAAGAGATTGTTTTAAAACCCAATACAGGCACAAAATATTAAATTTCATAGGAAAGGAATTCATGATGTGATAGCTAAACCACTTCCTTAGGACTCAGTAGAGTGGGCTCTAGAACATGGTCTCACGCTAGCTCACTGTGTGACCTTCTCTGGGCTCAGTGTTCCCATCTGCAAAATGAGTGCAGTGAGCCAGGCATTCTTGGAGGCCTTTTCCAGCTCTGCTGTATCTTGAAATCATTAACCTCCAACCTGGAAAGTTTAAATCATACTTTGTCAAAGCACACGAGGTTTATTTGCCCACACGTATTGATTCTCTGTGGGGAGATACAGAAGATTTTCTTTTTCTTCAGCCTCTTTTGTGCATACACGATGCCTGTGGTCAGGGCAGCTGGCAGCACTGGAGGTACAGTTACGGTGAAGAGGAGCAGGGCCATGGCTGTAGTATCTCTTGAAGAAACCTGAGGAGGGAGGGACATACAGGTCAGCGCAGCAGAGCAGTCTGGTACCCTTTCTGGCACCATCTCCTGTAATAGCACAGGAGCTCTAGAAACTCAAGAGTATTCAAAGTGAGCTGGCTCTTGGTGGGGTTGAGAGTTCTCTTGGGTGTGTCTAAGGAATGGACAAGTTGTCTCCCACTGAGAACAAAGGAGACTCTGAACCCTACTGGATGTCCACTCTGCCCTTTCCTGACTCTGTTTCTCTTCACTTAGCATTCCCTCCACCCAGAGTGCCATCCCTCCTCTGCTCACCATAACACACCCTCTGGACTCCCCAGGCATGGAGACCATCTTGGAGTTGTAACATTTCACACACTGGCTTGACGGTTGGGTTTTAAATCTCCCTCAGTAGCTTCCAAACTCCTTTGGGTGCAGCAGCTGTGGCTTATACATCTTCGAAGTCATTTTCAAGTTCATCTTATTCATCTCTAGATACAGAGCCTAGCACAGTTTCTGACACAGAGGAGGTACCCAGCACACATATGAAATGAGTGGTGACCTGATAAAAATGATGACCAAGATTCTGCTAAGATCTCAACATGTATTATCTGTTATAGGAAAGTCAATAGTAAAAATAGCTTGCTCTCACTGCTCATGTTCTAGGGTGGGCCTTGTGTTAGGCTACATACATTATTTAGTGACTCCCCATAAAAACCTTATGAGGTAAATACTGTTATTTTTTCTATTTAACAGATAAAGAAACCGAGGCTTAAAAAATTAAATAACTTCCTCAAGCCACCTGCTAGTTAAATGGTGAGGATCTGAACCCTAGTCTGTCCCACTGCAGGGAACAAGTATGTGACCGTTGTGTTATACTATCAAGCCAGTTCACATGGAGTCAAGATCCTAGTCAGGTCTGCAGAAATTCACATGACTGATAAAGAGTGGAGGCAAGATCAAATCACAGGATGGCTTGTTTTACTTTTCAAATGCTCTAGATACTATGCTTTACCCTAGATTTTTATGAAATCAACCATAATTTTAGCCATAAAGTGCTCGTCTGACTACTGGAAACACAGATTCAAGTTTAGGAACAATGCCTGCTAGATACGTCATTGATCCAATCTCAGTTTATTACAAAATCCATCATTCCTTGCTTTTTCCAACTACAGCCACAGAGTGTTGACCGTGAGGACTCAGTCCTGTCAAGTCCTGAGCCAGTACAGATAGAGACAGCCAACAGGGCCATAGGTTATGACCCACAAGAAGACGGGGTTTGTGATTAGTGTTGCTACTTGGTGTATATTGGATGTTGAGTCCCACTCAGGAAAGTTTCATTCCCAATCACTGCAGGGGCTTCTTAGTCCACACAAGAGAGCTTTTTGCTTGTTTTCCTGTCCAACACTACTCTTCCCCATATAAAACTGGCACATTGCCTCAAGTTCCAGCCCTACTAGTTTTAACAGTCTGCAGAGCTCTTTCCAGGGTCCATTCTACTGGTGCCAATATACCATGGCTTCCTTTGCCTGACCTAGAAAAGCTCCCTGGGGACTGTAATGACTACCCAGAGTACAAGTGTGAGCATGAACATTGCCTGGAAATTCTTGTGACTGTCCAGTAATATATACCTCTCTCCCCAATAACACACACATAGAATGCACTAAAGCTACCAATTTGGGCATTGTAATTAGGGTCACCCATACCCAGTTTCATATCTATGTTTGGACCCTTTTATTCACAGTTTTTTCTTCTTCCCTATGAGCCACATTGCTAACATCCTAATATGTCTTACAGAAGAGACTGCATGGTTTCCCACAGAATCAGATGCTCAGGACCAGAAAGGACTTCAGAGGTCATTTGTGACAACCCTTCTCTGTCCAGCCAACATAACTATGAAGAGGGACATTCAAATGAAACCAGACACCATGAAGCTTAAAAGGAAGTGTGGATCCATGCAGCATACATTTCTGTAAAAGTGGACATTTATAATTTATATATATATATATTTTTTAAGAGAAAGAGGGGAGAAGGAAAGGAGGAGGGGCAGAGGGAGAGAAAAAATCTCAAGCGCTGAGTGTGGAGCCTGACACAGGGCTTGATCTTACAACCCTGAGATCATGACCTGAGCTGAAATCAAGAGTCGGATGCTTAACTGACTAAGCCACCCAGTCACCCCTGTAAAAATGGACATTTAATTCCATTTCAGAACCTAACAGAACACAGAGCAATACATTGCCTAAATGGTCTGTTGGGTATGCCTTGGGCAATGTACACACTCAAATATTTCAACATTCTCAAATAATCCAAATTCCTAGGCATGGAATTCAAGATTCCCTTCAATGTAACCTATTTCTACCTTGCTAGGCTTAATGTCTCAGTTGCTCACTGGTTCCAGAAGACCCATCTGCATTTCTTGCTTTGTCCTTTGCTCACTCTAATTAGTATGCCCTTTCTGCTCTCTGATCTGATTGACTAAGTCCTCTCCATCCTATCAGACTTGAGAAACATGTATTTCCTCTGAAGCTATTTGGGCTTGGGTATTACAAATGCCACACACACAATAACCTCTCATTCCATCCAAGTGGTGAAAGGACTGTTGAACTTTGCAACTTTTCGTAGCTGTGTCATCCAATACAATTTTCACTAACCACATATGGGTACTTAAATTGAAATCAATCAAATAATCAATTAGTTAAAACAAATTATGTTAATTAAAAATAATTAAAATGAAGTAAAATCGAAAGTTCATTTCCTCAGTCACACTAGCCACAGTTCAAGCATTCAATAAGCACATGTGGTTAAGGGCTACCAAATTGAACAGTGTAGGTATAGAATAGTTTCATCATCTAAGAAAGCTCCATTGGACAGCACTGACTCACAGAATGATGGGGTTAAAAGGTATCCTTATCTAACCCTTTTAAGTTAGGTCAAGTTCCTTGAGAAAGCTATGCTATTAAAAAACTTTACCCCCAATACTTACTCCATGGTACATATATACACCAAGAGCATAGAAGAAACCCACAACTCCAAGGCAGGCCAGGAACACTATAAACTTGAAGGCATCGTTGTACAGTTTGAAGTTCAGAGGCCGAGGGTAGAGGATGGATCTTACCAAGTCCCCTTTGGCGGTATTGTAACCTACATGAAGATAATTGCAGGTGGAGTAAGGTTCTTTAATACAGTTTTCCCCAAACCCAAAATGGTTTGCATCAAATTAAGGATTGGTTAATAGTGTCATTTGAATATGGAACAAAAACACCATTGTTAACAGTATATTTATATTTATTATTCTTACATGTTGCCAGGAACCATAAATGGTGTTCATTTAGCCCTGCTCAATTTCTCTTGCTCTGAGAGTCAGTGCTTCAGTGGCTCACACAGTGCAGCTCCTCATTCATGCATGAGACTGGGGAAAAGAAGACTAAGGAACCAACAGATGCAGTCACCAGAGAAGATGAGCTGCTGAGAGAAGACTTTAAAGCTCAAATATGTGTTGAAAATAAAAGAAAAGAGAAAAGGAAAGCACAAAGCAAGTAATTTCTTAAATATATGTGCCTTTCATCATGTCATTTGTATGCTCAAAAACCTTCCAGAGCCTCCATTTTTTATAATAAAGTTCAAATTTCTAAGCATGGCATTCCAAGTCCCATCAATCTGGTGGACTCTTATCTTGCTAGACTTTTAACTAGCTCTGCTCTCAGAAGACCCCAGTGTACTCTTTCTTTTGTCTTTTGCAGAAACAGATTAGCATGTCTTTTCAGCTCTCTGATAGGACTGGCTAAATCCTTCCCATCCTATCAGGTCTGGCTCAAAAATGCCACCTCATCAAAGAAATGTTTCCAGAATTCTACTCTCACACTTCATATAAAAAATAATTTCTCCCCTTCTTTGGAGTCCCTATAACATTTAATCACATGACATCTATCTCTGCTCTCCTGCACAAGACCATAGTCTTCTTTAAGGTCAAGGAGTATCTCACAATTATTTTTTCCTTTAGCCCTGAGGGCATAGCACTTTGTAGATACTCATTAATATCTAAGTTTTTGGCAAAAAAAACCCTGACTACTAGATATAAGTCACTATTGTTAAGTATGAAACATGCCTTAATCCCACTGCTTGGTGAATATCTTGTCTCTTCAAACATGGTTTTGCAGGCTTTGGAGAAAAGGAGCAGAGCTTTCTCTAACCTGTTGCCTCAGCATTTTATAAGCTCAGATCAGGTGGTTTCCATGATTACCATCCATTAGCTCCTGCTTACCAGCTGGCTGAGATATTCTCATGCCCACTGACTACTTTGAAACAAAACTTGATATTTTTAATTAAAAAAAAGTCAGGTAGAACAATTGAATCATAGGCTAACTAACGCATAGAGACAACAAAGTGCAAGGTATGTTTTGAATTTGTGCATATGTGTGCTGGCAGAAACACAGGTGAATACGACAAGCTAGGACCAGGTCATGGAAGGTGTTGGCTGCATCATGTCATGTGAAAGACTGGGCGTAATATTAATAGTTTTGAAAAGTTTTTGAGCACAGTGTGCATAAACTGCTTCAAAATATGTTTTAGAAATATGACTTGGTGAGAGATCTAGGGATAAACAGAACAAAAGACAAGACAAAGTATTTCAGGCAAAAGCTGAAAGGGAACAGTCAAAAGAATATTTCTGTTGTAATAGTTAGACAGGAGATGATGAAGGGCCTAGACAAAACACCAACTGTGGGGTTGAAGGAGAGGGAGACAGGACTCGGGAGGTATTTGTAGAATCAACAGGATGTGGTGCCCTACCTGGTAAGGGAGAAAGTGAGGAGTTAAAGGTGATGTGGAGAGACTGGCTAGATGGTAATGCTGTCAACAGAAAGAGGAGGATGAGTCCTTTAGATGCCTTGACTTCGAAGTGCCTTGACTTTGAAGTTTAAACCCAAGTGGAGAAACCCCGCAGGGATCTTGAAATAATAGCCCAGCAAACAGCACTTTGAAAGGGAAAGTCCTCAAGCAACAATGGTTGGAACTGTTTTCTTGGTAATTACTTAGAGTGGGTGTAGAGGGAAAAGAAAAGAAGCATGTGGGCATAAAAAAAAACCAAAACCAAACAAACCTACAAGAACATAGTCTTGCCTTTGAGGAAGTGTACTTCATCTCTGTATATGCTTCATGATAGATGAGAATTTTAACAATGAACCATTCAGTTGGAAATGGTGGCAATTTAGAATAATAAGGGTCCTACTGGAAATGAGTATGGCTGTTATTACCAGAATATAGCAAACTTCATATTCCTAAACAAAATTTTCCCAATCCAACTCCCCCACCTCTAATCATGGACTAAATTTACAAAAGTGGAATCTACCAACCTGTTTGCAAGACAACTGCTCTCACTGGCCCCTGCCCAGACGGCTTAACCTGGATAACTTCCGTCCCACAGAAAAGGACATGTTTCCGATAATCTTCCAAGCTGTGGGATTTCCAAGCAACGGTGTTGTCCCCATGGGGCAATGGTGTCTTCGTGACAGGTATACTTTCTCCTAAAGAAGATTGTCTTTTGTTGATTCCATGTAACCTCAGGTAGTCATTTAGAGCTGGTACTTTCCAGTTTCAAGAAAGTATACAAACCACAGCTATTCAGGTCTTACTGCTCATCTCCTGAGTCAGATGACTTCTCAGGATGCTGGTGATGCAAGTAGTGGTATATTTGGTTACATTTCAGATATTTATTAAAGTCCACCTATATTTTCCATACCTGGTCTGCATGGTTTGCTGTTATAATTTAAAAAAGCAGGCCAGGGTACCTGGGTGGCTCAGTTGGTTAAGCGACTGCCTTCGGCTCAGGTCATGATCCTGGAGTCCCGGGATCGAGTCCCACATCAGTCTCCTTGCTCAGCAGGGAGTCTGCTTCTCCCTCTGACCCTCTTCCCTCTCGTGCTCTCTATCTCTCATTCTCTCCCTCTCAAATAAATAAAATCTTTAAAAAAAATAAAAAATAATAAAAAATAAAAAAGCAGGCCATTTTAGCAAAGAGAGTTGTCACTTAAATGTCTCCCCAAGTATTCTTTAAGCCCAGATCTATGCTAGGCAATGAAGGAGCAATAAATTATGTGTAAAGCAATTATTATTTCCCTTTCATTTACTTGTTTATCTGTGCATTCATCCATTCATTCAACAAATATTTTTAAGTGCTTATTCTGTGCCAGGCACTGCTCTAGGTGCTGAGAATATAATAATGAAGAAGACAGACAGAAATCCTGCCGTCAGAGGCCCAGGGGCCAAGCCACTAAAGAGTAGTAAATAATTAACGAAAATACAATAAGTATTTTGGTAGTAGTACCAGGTGATCTGAAGATCTAGCCCAAACAGGGGACCAGGAAAGGCAATTAACAAACGACAACTCAAAAGGAAATGAGGCCAACTAGATCAAGGAGAAGAGGAAAGTGTTCTTAGAAGAAATGAAGGCAAGAGAATGCTCTGCCCTGGGCACTAAAGATGGTTGAGGGTGTTTGGGACATTGAGTGTGAAGGTAGAGGTAAAGAATCCTCGAAGTAGAGAGATGAACGAGAAATTATGCCCTCATAAAATCTAAAAAATATTTTTCATGATCTTTTTGGAGGGTGTAGTGAAAACTAGAAACCAATATAACAGGATATCTCTTTTTTCTTTCTGGATGATCTCAGCTCTATTCTCATTAATTAACACTTCTTAATAAGTGGAACTGCTTTCTTGGCTCAGTAACATCTGTATTCATCTTCCCTCTCTCCTGTGTTCTTGTTCTATATTTCCCCGTGGTGGGCTGTTCATGCGAACCTGGATATCCCACTAGCCTCTCCAAGTCTCCGTATCCACATTGGCACCTGTGCTTCTGACTAATAAATCTGAGGTTCCCACAAACCCCTTCTAGGGTTCAATTAAGTTGCTAGAGTGGCTCACAGAACTCAGTGGAATACTTACATTTACTAATTTGTTAAAGAATATGATAAAGGATACAGATAAATAGCCAGATGAAGAGATACAGAGGATGGGGTTTGGAAGGGTCCTGAGTGCAAACTCTCTTGCTAGATTTTCAAAGCCACCAAAAACTGAGCATCACTGGCTCTTTTTCCTACACACTCCAGCTAAACTAGGCCACTTGCATATCCTATTATTGACTGCCATTCTTTGCCGGTACTATTCCTCTACTTTTCCTGACGGCAGGAAGACAGGTTACTTAAGACACAAAGAAAATTAGCTCAGAGTTCAAAAGGATACATTTCAGAGACAAAATAAAAATGCTAATAACCCTTCCTGGCTCCCAGATTTAAAAAGCACTAGAATGAATTTAAAATTCCATCAGTCTTTTGCTAAATGTTCAATTAGCAAAATAACATGTCATATTTCTAATTTGGAAATAGTATTATATTGATTATAGTTACACAAATTCAGGTTCTATCTCTCCTTCTAGGTAATAACTGAGGGCAAGTACTTTGACATGTATGACTTTTTATACTGCTCATTTTCCTTGCTGGTATGTAATAGGTTCAAAAGACATATTTTTGCTCAGTGCCTGGGTGAATTGAATAAAAACAATTACCCAGGTTTTTCTATGATTGGTTTTTCAAAACTAGTTTTCCACAGGGTGCATTTTTAACATCCTAAGGTGCAAGAAGCTATACAATTTTTATTAGTGATCTTGAATATTCTCAGGAAATTCCTTTAGCTAAGCATTGCCCCTTCTCATTGTCTTTAAAACAATTATGATATTTATCCTTTGTTTGGATTTACCAATTGTGTTCTAAGTGGCTTTGGAAAAGGGATAGAACCTTTTCGACAAATCTCCAATCGCTATATCCCCATTGTTTTTGAAATCAGCCTTTTTCAAAGCAGATACTTAGAGATAATTTCTAATGTTGTTCTGCTTTTGAATCACAGCGTATTAATCCACAATATTAGTGGATAGCTTATGAACACACAACCCGCAGTATTACTGGTGGGCAGGCATTCAATCAACCAGAGATAGAAGTCATTTGGAGATAATGTTCCAAAGATAACATTCAAATCAGATATTATTTTACACAGAAATGACTTTCAAGTCTCTTTTACGCTATTCACATATTAATAAGGAATCTCGTTCTTGGCCTTTGTCGGAATCCCAAGAAAGAGTGATTTGCCTACAAATGTTTGGAGGTCTAAATAGGCTGAGGAGTGTTTTAGAAGGAAGAACACTCATCATCAACTTCCGCTGGCTTCCGGGACCTGGAAGTCCTGGCTGCTGTGAAGTGGGATTCTGTCCTTAATCCCCAGTGAGCCGGTATCTCCACATGAAATGCCCTGTTCTTGTTTGTTTGTATTTCGGGGGCCATTCGACTGTAAGCTGTTTGAGGGTAGTGGCCACTTCTCATTGTCTTGTGACTCCAGCACACAACAGAGTACCTGGCACAGAGTAGGCATTTCTGAACCTTTATTGAATAAATGGACAGATGAATGAATAAATGCAAGAAAAGGAGAAGTGAGAGACAGGAGGAAAGGAAAAAGGGAGAGAGATTAAGATCAGACCCAGCAATTCATCACAAGCTTGTCTGACAGGATGTATGTAGATGTGAAATCACCACTTCAGGAAATTCCTGTATGAGTAAGGAAACATTGTAGAAGTTTGTGAAAACAGAGCAAGAGGCACCGGTCAGCCTCCTTTTGCAGGGAGACAGGCCTGAGACATTTGCCAAGCCCAGAGGAGGAGTGGGGGCCACAGACAAGAGAGCTACCCTAGACCGCCTCCCAGCGCCTTGCACAACCTCTAGCAGCCAGACTTGGGTCAGGGGACCCACCAACTGATGGGAACGACTGTCTGACTTATGCCACTGCTCACTCTCAAGGATGGCAATATTTGGAGCAAAAATAAAAGCTAAGTGTAGTTACAAAATTAAATTTCTTGCATAGTTGAACTTATGGCAATAGGATGAGCCTAAGGAAACGATGAGGAGGAAGATCCTACAATGGGCATGTGCTGTGGGGGGGGAGTGCCCCATTCAGAGAAAAAGATGATGAGGCACAAGGAATGAGCGCTTTACCCCTCTTAGAATCCTCCTCCTCCTCACTCCCGTGGTCCCTCCTTTCTGGAAGCAAAAGCCACCTCTGACCCTGATACTTGCTAGCCGACCAGTCTGGTCTCTTTTCACCTGGGTTTCTTCATCTGGAGGTTGGGTATTATAACAGCTCTTCATTTGTTTTATGCTATGACGAAGTGAGATATAAAAGTTATTTATAAAATGTAAATTGCTCTAGAGATGCTAAGAGTATTTGCCATTTTTCTTCTAAATAAAGACATAAATAAAGACTTCTATATATGAAAAGGACGGGTTTGCACATGGGGAAAAAAACCTGAGTCACATTCATGGACAAATGTTCTAGAAAGACATAGGCAGTTTCAGGAATCAAAGCATAATCTGATTGTTCAATGAGGATCATTTTTACAAATAGTGTATGTGAGCGGGTAGATCTATGTAGGCTGTGTAATAATGTATTTAAAGCATGGTGGTAATTAGATCTTTCTGAAGAAAATAATAAGAAAGAAACATACGTATTTCTGTTTTATGTGTCTGTCTCTAAAGTTGACATTTATTAGTACTTAGGTTTCATAGATATTATTGTTGGTGACCTTATTTTTCCAGAAACAGACCTAAGAAAAGCCACTTACTTCTTAAGGTCATTTTAGGTCAAGTTTGCACATTGTGGAAAAGCAGCATTGTTTGCCCTCTCTACTTCTCTGGAACTCTCTGAGTTTTCCTAGAAGCAAGGCAAGAACCTTGCACCCACCCAAGTCAGTAGACCCAGGGGAGTAAATGTGATCAGTCCTCCCCTTTCTCCTCACAGCCATGCTCTCTTGCCAATGAGTGAAGCCATTCTTCACTGGCAAGCTGCTATAAATGTGAGAGGTCGCTGCGTTGGAGTGAGGAGGACAGTTTTTGGGGGGGCTTGAGGTTTGTGCATCAGGTACCATGGCAACATTCCGGATGAAGGATATGATCAGTATGCAAATCCTCATCGTTATCATTATAAGACAGTTAGATTTCAACACACTAAAGGGCTATTTTGTAATTATACCAAGCATATTTATGTTTGCTACATTTTCCTGTCTCAATTTTAAATTAAGCAGACCCATTTTTAATGTGAAATCTGCTTGTGTTGAACAATTTAGGAATCTATAATGATTCTCTTTACATTTAGGTGACATTAGAAAGGTGTGTGTGTGTGTGTGTGTGTGTGTGTGTGCGCGCGCGCGAGCGCATGCGCGTGTGTATTTTCCTGTCTTTAGCAACTTGGAAACAGAAAAATACAACAATTTGTAAGCACAAAAGACAAATATTCTCTATTTTTGTGTATCGTATAGTTTCTTCTTCTCTTATTATGATATCCTGTGTATTTTGAGGTCTTTTGACTAAAGAATATTTTATACCTAGTGCCTTGCTAATTATACAAATTCAAATGAACTTTACAAAGTACAAACAAGAACAAGAATAACAGTTCAAACCATTATAAGAAAACTGGCTTTCTGCTCAGTAAGATCAACTGGAAACACAATTCTAAAGAACAGAACTGTTATATGGCCTTTCCTTGAAGGTTCAATTCAATTTCCTTCCCAGGAAATCTGGGGCTCAGTTTTCCATCTACAGAGAGCAGGGTTGGATAAAATCTCTGCACCTTGCCAATTGTGAAAGCTGGTGGTTTCCATTTGTGTTGTGTTTGGATAGGTGTTTATGTTTATGAAGATACTGTGCATCAAGCAGTCTTATGCATTCACCTTCCTCTGAACCAAAGCACCCAATTTACTACACCCATTAGGACATGAACCAATCACATGTATTAGACTTTTCTTCTATTTATAAATTTTGTATTTATTGTCATTAGATTCTTAAAATATTAAATGTTTCCTAATTGCATATATGAATTCTCCATCTGCGTGAATAGCCTGGCCGTGTCTCCCTCACCTATCTCTCCATATCTTAATATCAGGCTGGTATAAAGCAGGTAAGGATGTGTTGATCTGCTTTGCCAACTCTTGTCTTAGGTGTTGGATAGGAAAGAAGAAGCTCCGTGACAACAGCCTACCTGTGAGCATGCCTTCATTCACCACACAGCTTCCATCAATCAGAATAGCATCACATGGCAATGAAAGTTTTCCTGGAAGAATAAGAGTATCTCCAGGAACCAAGAGACAGGATTCCAGCTCCTGCAAACCTATACAACAGCAAAGTTTCCATGACTGGCTGATCTTTTCCTGTTTTTACTGAAAGATGCAAGTGGCTGAGAACTCTTAACCAACCAAGGACTGCCCTACACATTCACCTGCTCCAGCTCCTTTCTGCTCATTTGCAAAATCACAGAAACCAGGATTAGGGATTTGATTCCAGGGCCATAGCAAAAGATTAGGAGAGCAACAAGATCCCATCTCGATCTTAGTACTTAGGACAGTGCTCTGCCCACAGGAGATACTCAAGGGTATCGGTCATCTGAGAGGTTCCCCTCTACTGCTGCTTACTTGCTGGGGCTGGGCTCCTGCCCCCCTGTGGCATACCCTGTCTTTGGTCTGGGGCCTAGTGTAAACCATTCAGACAGTGTCTGCTGCCGGGGGGTGCAGTTCCTCACTCCTTGCAAAGAACCATGGCCACCCTACTCCAGGCTAAGTCCAGAGTAAAATGCCAAATGTCCAGCCAGCCATTTACAAGAATTATGCATGACTGTATTCTGGATAACAGATTGAAAATGTTATGATTCTGGGTCTGTTTGGGATGGTTAGTAGGGGACATCAAAAAGCCTTAAGAAGGCTTACCCAGTAACATTCAAATGAGTGAAGTATGGAAAGCAGAGGGAACTGGAAGCAACACAGACACTGGGTGGAAAGGGTTCAATCAGGATGAGGCATGCAAGGTACCCAGGGTACAAAATTCAGTGAGATGTTCACCTTCTGGGTCCTGCAAATGCAAGTGAACTTTTGCATGATCTCCTCATTAAGTTTTGCATCTTAGAAGCCTTATTTGCCTCAATTTAGCCCCAGTCCTGGATTTAAGCAGAGAAGACTTTTCTCCTCGACTAATAATCAGTAACAAATGAGACTGATTCCACCCTGAAGCTGGCAGAACATACACTTACCTGTGCCCTTTACGATGACTGTAACCTGGACTTTGTTGTGATCCTCCACAAGCTTGTGCAGCTTAACTGATTGCTGCCAATTGAAAGTCAACGTTTAAATATCCAGGAGTCCATAACTCGAAAACCACATGATCTCAATACAGTAAATACAGAGCCTGCCATCACAGCCAAAGTGACTGTAGGCAGACTCAAGTTCTACTTTTGATGCTTCTGCTTCCCTGCCCTGACCCCTATCCTAGCCAACCCCCAAGCTGTAGCAACAAATATGCTAATTAGCTTAATACTATTTCAATGCCAGGAAACATAATGCACAGCCACCATGCCCAAGGACCAACACCAAGGCCCCAAGGCTGCACTTCTTGAGGGAGCACGAGGAAGCAAGGGAAGAACAACAAGACCATGAACAGGTTACTTTCCCTCTCGGTACCTATTTCCCTGTCTATAAAACAGCGAAGCTGAATTTGATCTTTCCGCTGCAAGAGCCTGAGAATATTTGGGTTGTGTTTTGATTTTATGTGGAACAACCATCCCCTCCTTTATGAACTGGTGGATTTTCATCTTGGGGAAGTCTGCAGACTGGAGCCACACTGCTCCATTTGGAAGCCTGGTGTTTCCACTTAGGCATTATTCAGCCTGTTTAACTCCCTTTTCCTAATCTGAGAGTGGAGATAACAGCAGTATCTGTTTCAGACGGCTTTGAAAATTTAGTTAGTGCTTATCTTAGTTATCGCTTTGGATAGTCCTCATTACCATGGTAAGAGCTCCATAAGTGTTAATGATCAATAAGAAAGTTGTTGCTGGAAAAACAATTGTCTAAGTGCATCAGCTGGAAAGATTCGCTTGGGGTAGAATTCATTGAGATACGACCGTGTGCAAAGTGGAGGAAATGGAAGCAGCCCGATGAAGTGGAGGTAGAGTCTCCTGGGAAAACTCCGGAGACCGGAAGGCAGAGGTGAGAGGACATGGGGTCCACACAATTCCCCATATCGACTATAGGGGGCGCCATGGGCTGGGGCATTCCCGAAAGGCACTGCCCCTTCAGTAGGAATGTCAGTTACTTGGATACTCGTAAGTAGAAGAGATCTAAATACTGTCAACAATACTGAAACACAGCCTAACCTAACTCAAGTATAAAACTTTTCCTTTCAGATGTTAGGGTAAATTATTTTTATCTGTCCTATTGATTTTGAGCCAATGGTAGCTAATGTCACCAGACTAAGACAAGCATTACACACATTGATGTAACTTTCCTCTTGAGAAATAATAATAAATCCCGTGTTTTTGTTTATGCAAGACAAATTATTGTTTACTTCAGTTTTTTTATGAGAAGCTACACTTCAAACATTTGGACCAATTGAGTGGAAGAAGTGATATTACTATTTGTTAGGTACATATTCAGTGCCCTAACTTGACTTCCTGAGGCTTGCAGAATGGAGCATCCATTTTAATGATGCATAATAGTGCAAAAGTCAGCCACGGTTCTGTGACAAAAAAACTGGATTCAGTCAGGATTCCTGAGTTGTCGGTCAGGTTACCCACTAACCAGCCACATACCCATATATAAGAAATTTCACCTTATAAGTTAGTTGTTCCCTCTCGCTAAACAGATGACATTGAATTGAATCATTTTTAATTACCTTCCAAAACTGAACATGGTCTGATACTGATTTATTTTACATATCAGAGATTTATTCAAAGCCCCCAAGGCTTCATAGAAGAAATACCCAGCGTTTATAATGGCTCACATTATTATTATTTTTTAAGTTATTTTATTATTTATTTATTTATTTATTTATTTATTTATTTATTTATTTATTAGTTTGAAACATTAAGCAACTACTCTGTGCCAAACACTGTTGTAAGCACTTGGAGTGTATTGTTTGATTTTCCTTTTTTTTACTCCTCAATCTAATCTGACGATGAAAATGTTATCATCTCCAATGTACACATAACAAAATAAAAGCCAAACAAAACCAAAACCAAGACAAAATAGGGACTTGAAAATGTTAAAGTAACTTGCCTGCAATCATTTACTTACTAAGTATTAAGATTGAAAGTAAAACCCCAGTTCATCTGACTCTAAAGCCTTTTCTGTTGAGAACACATTCTCCTAAAGTGCTTGAAAAGAGCTTTTTTCTTTTAAGAAGATAAATAACCTTCCTTATAAATTTCTTTAAGTTACTTTCTTGCTTAGCAAACTCTTAGTCAATGCCATGAAAACTTCAACCTAGCTTAAGAGGATGATAATCAACACATTTGGAAGTGGTGAAGTATGAGTTCATAATGATTGACTGTAACTCTCAAAACTCATTTTGGCATCAAGCTGGATTTGTTCATCAGGCTTAGCGTTCTGAGAAACCTGCCATGCTTCCACGCCTCTCTTCAAGCTAATACCTGGAATGCTCACTCAGGTTTTCTACTAGCAAACTCTTTCGAATCCTTCACATAAAGCCCTGCTCAAATGTCACCTCCACTCTCTAAGTCACTAACATCCCCAGAAAGAATTAATTGTTCCGCTCTCTGTGTTTCCACCTGTATTAGTGAACTGATCACATTCCATTACAGCTGTTTTCTTGTCAGGTCTCCCCTGTGAAGGAGGCAGTTCAAAGAAGAGCCAAGTACTCATCCAGGTATCCTGGGAGTCTATCACATAGTAGGCCCTCAGCAAATATTTATTTAATAGAACTGAATTATTTTACTTCTCCCAACAACACTGGAGAAGGATAATGTAAGCATTCTCTTTGAGCTAATGTACCAGGAAACTCTACAAACACAGGTTTCTATGGCAACCAACCATTTAGGAGCAAGCAAGGGCTGTGATGCTTGCCGTGATTTGGAAGCTCACTGCCTGATTTTCATCAGGCCCCCTCTGGTTTCTCCAGTCCCTGTTTAGTGGGAGCAGGATGAGTTTCCACCAAGACTAATTTGCATATTGTTATTTTTCGGCATCTGTTGCTGTGTGTCCTTGTGTTTGCTGTGGCTGGATTTCCTCCAGAGATGAGTAATGAGGGCATTAACTCGGGTATCTTTTGAGCCCGGCTCAGTCATGACTGAAGGCAACGCACTGTGGGTCAGATACTGTCCGTGCTATTTCTAGCAGCCCCCTGAGGAGCCAGCAATGGAGTATGGGTTACAGCTCAGTATAAAGACAGTTGAATGCCAACTCAACTTGCATTCACACCTGCACCAAACTTGGTAGGGGCTGCCACGGGGTGTTTCTTGGCTTAGGCAAGATTGCTCTCTCTTTGCAGCATGATTTGGGGCTAGAGAAGATGCAGGAAGACAGCTTATTCCGCTCCTGCCAACACTTCCTCTCTTGCAACTTTCAAAGGCTGGTATTTGTTCAGCAGGATTTGGAGATGACCGGAGATGCTTCTTCCGTTCCTGGCAACCCCCTTCCCCAATCTTATTGTAATAAAATTATCAAACAATCATTTACTGCGGCAAGGAAACTCATAGGTCGCTTTGAAATTTTGCTCAGTGGGATGGTATGAAGCACTTGACTTGGAGTCAGGAAACCTGGGGCCATGGTCTGTATAGCCACCACTACATGGCAAGTCTGAGCAAGGCACTTCACCTCCGTGATTGTTCCTGTCCCTCTCTCTCAGGTGGTGGGAGGTTACAACAATCACAACTGTATCATTTTAGAGTTTGCCCTGCCCTACACAAGCATATCTATTACAGATGTGGGAGTCAATTGCAAATTGTAAAGTGCTAAAGAAATATTGATTGTTGAGGATTTCTGACTGAAACTGCAAAGATACAGTTTCAGGAAACTGGCTCATGTCCTATAGTGTTGCAAGATGCCTTACAGGGTGGGTCAGATAAGCTTCTGTTAACAAATAGGAACTGCTAATGGGATTAGTGTCTCCTTGTTAAAGAACTCTTTCTCAGTCCTGCCATCAAATGAAATTCCCAGGCCAGTCACTATTTTAAGCAAAGGCATTTAGGGATTATTAAGATGTAAAACCTGAATGTTCAAGATTCATTAAGGATTTTAAAATAAATATTAAGAAAATTACAAATGGAAAAACAGAGCATACCTACTCAAGAGGAGAACTTGATAAGCAAAACAGGAAACCCAGAAACCCAGAAAAGGAAAAGAGAAACATATTTAACTACATACATTTTTAAATATCTGGGAAAAGTCAAGGTCAAAAGGAAAAAGGTAGACTAAAAAATGAAACTCTTCCACATGTATGATGGATATAAAGAGACAGTAAACAGAAAAGAAAAATGTAAATATCTATTAGAGAAAAATGCGTCTAATCTCACTAATCAGCAAAATGTAATTAAAATGTCAATGGGACACACTTTGTAAAAAACATGCTAGCTTGAAAAATTTTAAACATCAATATATAACACCAAATGCTGGCAAGGATTTGGGGAAATGGATACTCTCATATGTTGCTGTTATTTTATTTGAAGAAAATAATATCTCTATCTCAGTATCTATTAACATCTAAAATATACATATTTTTTGATACAACAACCTGGCTTTTGGTTGCTTTGCTAAAAAAAAATTGTGAACACTAATATGTAAAGACACATCTATATTGTAGTTGTGTGTAATTCAGCATACTTGTGGCAAAAATTGGAGAGGAAACCCCTTGTTTTCCATAAATAAAAGGATGGTCGAATAAATTATGATATACCATGGAATGTCACACCATTAGTTTTAAAGATGGTTTAGAATTATTTATTTACTTGGTGTATGGCCATTATATGTATTGTAAAGTGAAAAATACAAGTTTCAGATTAATATACAAAGTACGTTCCTGTTCTAATAAAACAAATTAATAAATATATAAATAAATCTCCATATAAACTAGTATTTCTGTGCATCTTATAGAGTAGAAAGAGTGAAAAATATGTCCAGCTGATGATGAAATTAACAAATAACTAAACAGATGTATTTGGGATCCTGGTGCTTGAATTTGTCCTTTGGCGGATTCCTCTGGAACAACAGCTCTTAAGCTTTTAGCATGCATAGCAATCACCTGTTATGAAACTGAAAAAGTGCAGATTCCTCTTGTTACCCTGGATATTTTGATTTAATAGGTCAAGAGCTTAGGAATCTTGAGTAATTCTCTCACTGAAAACTTGCCCTTTAGAGTGAAGAATCAAACCTATTTTTTCTGTAACCCTTCCCCCAGCTCCCACACAGGGGTCTCTATATTTCTTTTCCGATTCCCTCAAGACAGTTACACCTAAGTTCTAAATGAAGAAATGGACATTATAAATAAATTTTAAAAGGGAGACTAAAATTTGTCATAAACATGTAGATGGGAAATGTGTAGAACAAAAACAGTATTTAAGTCAGGGGAAATATGTGGAAACATTCTAGGGGGTGTAACATAGCACATGGTAACACCACATTTACTTGGGACCCATTGATTACAGGTAACAGAAATTTGTTAAGTTTGCTTAGGCAGATGAGAATTTGTGAAGATGCAGGGATGTTGTACGAACCTAAGGTGGGAAGTGAAGCCAGGGTTCCCAAGGGCTCCAAACAGGAACAGGAAATACTTTGAGGAGCAGGTCAGTCATTCTCCCTCTCCCTGTACCCTCTCCTTCTCCCTGGCCTCTCCCTCTCCCCTAGACTCCATATTGCTCACCTCTGTGTCTCACTGTGTATTTGGCTTATTCTTTTGCTCTCTCTCTGCACAAGTGTTTTCTCTGTTTGTACACACACAGGGCTCAAAGGTACCCATTCTGATCCTGGCTAGGCAGCATTTCTCAGGTCACATTCCTAACAGAGTATAACAGACAGCTTCAAGCCCTTAGGCTTGGATCCCAGGCAAAAAGTTGTGTTGGCATTATTCCTGTTGATGGACTGGCTTCTACAGGGTCAGGTGACCCCTGTTCCAACTCTGTGTGTCAGTGGAAGGAGAGAGCTACCTGGAACAAACTGTTGCAGGCTGCCAGAGCTCTGGGTACTCTCAATTATTAGAGAAGAGGAGGGAAGGAGAACATTTGCCTCAAAATATGTGTACCGAATTTCATGCCTGTCAGAGAATAGGAGGCTGGGGAGAATAACCCAAGTTCATGGGTCCAGCCCCTGTTAAAGTCTGCTGCACTTTATGTCCTTGGGTTCTATGAGCTACTGGTACATATTTATAATATATATCCCTTTGATGATTAGGATAGTTTAAATAAGTTTCTATTATTTCTATACATCCTGACCCAAGTTGTTTATCTGGATAGATGGGCTAACACCTAATACGGTCCAATAGGAATTGACTCTAGTCTACAACACATGTTCCCAAATTATTAGTGGTCAGAAAATCTCTCACTAGCGTTCTGAAGTTTTCAAGGGCTTTTTTTCATTCCTATTTGTGGCCCAGGCAAAATAATAGAAACCTTATGGTGAGACCTAAAAAAATAGAGTATAGCCTCCAGCATTTACAGCTAAGGAAAGTGATCCCAGGGGAAACAGAGTCCCGAGAGTCAGGCAATGAGTGAGCCAGTGGTTGTTAGTAACCCGTATTCCTGTGATGCTTCCTTGTTCATGCTATAGGGCTCCTCCTTTCCATCTCTGTGCCCCCTCCCATCTGTCCATTGTCAACTCTCCCCACTACAGACATAATAATAAAAACAACAACAGTAATACCAGTGATAACAAGAATTAATGTTTGGTGTCTACTATGTACCAGGAATATAAATATTCAAATTCGTGGTTTCATTTAATTCTCTCAGCTATAACATCAACACACACACACATACACAGACACACATACACACACACCTCTTATAGATGAGGAAGCTGATTATAATAGCATCAAGTAACACAAAGAGGAGAGGTAAGGAGGAGATTTTTAACTTGACTAGATAAGATGTCCCTGCCAAAAGTCTTCAGAGAGCTCTGTATTTTTCCTGAGAACATTTAGATGGTTTGTGATGATAATATTCGGGTGAGTGTATGTAGATGTCTCTCCAGCGGAATGAAGGACATGGGGGAAGGACTGTATTCACTGATGTTTGACTTAAGCCAGAAATTGCATGAATGGCTTGCAGGTATCAAATTAGATATTGTATTAAAGCAAAGCTTTCTCAAAATCCAGAAACTAGAAATTCTATTTGTGGGCTTCATATTACATACCTTTGTCATACGACCAAGGTAAAAGCTTAGGACACTATAGTTTCCTACTGTGGCTGGCAGAATGTATCAGATCTTTTATTGCCCCAGTGTCTATTTTCATGCTTTTGCTCAAATGCTTACACTTTATCAGAAGGACTGTCACTCTTCCTCCTGACTTGGCAGCCAGGAAGAAAGTATTTGCCACCATCAAAGGCAGTTTACTGGTCACTGTTAACATTTTTGTGACTTAAATTAGTTTTGTGAAAAAACACCTGGGCACTCATTTTTAAAAAGGAAAAAACAAACAAACAAATAAACAAAACAAAGCCCTTGTCACCTTCACTCTCTAGTTCAAAGTACTTTCATTCATTTAACTTCTCATTTTTAGATCCTGTTTTCTAACTCTTTACATACTTATTGCCTTTCTTTCACTTCTCATCAAACATTTCATAACTCAAAATTTGTAGGATCTAAAACCAGATAAAGAGCCAATATTAGACCTAATATTTAATAGACTGAAATACAGTTGGAATAAAAGTTCCCTTTCAGTGAAGCTTGTGTCAATGCCCCATGTCTGCCTTACAGACATGTGCCCAGAGCTTACTCTGTAGACATATAGAATTCGTCTCTCTTCTCACACTTATGTTTGACTTCCATCCCGAGCTGTTGTACTAGCTTTCTGCTGAGGAAATATTGCCCATGCAGTAGAATTTCATTTTATGAGGAGCCAGAAGCCCGACTCTCTCACAAACTCACTTTCTGACCTGGAACAAACTCTGGATCTTAGCTTCCTTCCCTCTTGATGAAGGATGAAGTATGAGACGAGACGGTTTCAACAGGTCAGTAAGATTGACAGACTGACACATCGTGCTGTACCACCGCATGCCCCCGAACCCCATGTAAACGAAGCTAATTCCACACTCAAGTTTTAAAAAATATACAATAAATAGAGCGAGACATCTTTTTGGAGTGGCCTCATGATTCAGCCCGATGACTCTTAAGCAAAGTTGCAGAACATTGTCTATAAAGATTCTGTGGGAAGCTGAGACTTGCAGGGGCTATGGAATCATAAGTAATATTCAGGAAAATTCTATTTCAGAATGCATTGTTATATCATTTATAAGACTGATTTTTAAAAAGAAGGAAGGCTTTAAATGGCTCAGAGATGAACAATAATGGAAAGTTACTACACTGGCATCATTAATCCATCACAGCATTCTTTCCCACCATATTCAGACACAACCTCAGAGTCCTTTCAAACATAGTATGCCGTTCAGCCTTCAGTCGATAATTGGACTTTGCAAGGACATTTTCATCTACCTGCCAGTCCTGAAGCCCTCCTCCTGAGATCCCTCATTGAGTAAGACCTTGCTTTTTGCTTTATGACATAAGATTAACAAAGCAACTCCTTGATTTCAGTGGAAATCCTGTAGGTTTTGCTGCTTGGGCACCAGAAGCTAAATAGAATCCCACTGTGATTTCAGCTCTTACCTGTCGCAAATCATACACACTTAAGACAATGGAGATAACAGACAAGATGATGATGGCCACAGAGTATTCTACATAACCTTGAGACAGCCACAAAGTTAGTGTAAAGGCTTGGAACAAGTAGAATGGATTTAAAAACTGCAGGTAAAAAAAACAGCACTTGAGTCATTTGCATGGATCTTAGTGGCAATCGGGATGATGTCATTTCTTTATAGAATGTTGTTTTTTTTTTTTTCATTTTTTACAACACACAATATCTCCAATATTTGGGAACTCACTTAGAACTCAATTTTGGGGGGGAGGGCAAAGATGGTGGAGGAGTAGGGGACCCTATTTCAACTGTTCCCCTGAATTGAGCTGGATATCTACTAGACCACTCTAAACACCCACGAAATCAGCCTAAGATGTAAGAAGATATATCTACATCTCTACAAACAGAACATCCATAGCAGCTGCTTTCGAGGTATGGAGTGGGGAGCTGTGATTCCACATGATATTGGAAGATAAAAGGAAGGGGATGGGAGTTGCCATAAGCGCTTGAGCTGGGAAGGGGAAATAACACAGGAGTGCAAAAGTCTCCTGCCCTGGGGACTGGGGCACAGATTTGAAGACCAGTAGCAGTGGGGAAAGGACTTTAGGGCAGCCCCCTGGACTGAAACCTAGAGCGGTGGGGCTGCATGTGTGAACTGGGGGCGGCTGGCAGTTTTAGAAGCACAAAGGGCAAAGAGATGTGCCTGGACCTGGAAGTAAGGGCTGGGAGTGTGGCTGTGGGGCCCACAACCCAGGACGCTGGGGTTTTAGCAGTACAGACAGAAACGGAGACAGTGCGGCCTGGAGAGCTCACTCAAGAACAGACTGCAATCTCTCTGCTCTGAGGCAGAGGGTTGGAAACAGTCTCTTCTGCTCTGACTCTCAGAAGAGACATGGAAAGCCACCAGGGAAAGCCACCAGAGAACAAAAGCCTCCCAAAAATTGTTTTCACTGAGCCCATCCCCTGCCACAGGAGGCAGGGCAACTCTGCCCAAACAGGGTTGCCTGAGTAACAGCATGGCAGGCCCCTCCCCCAGAAGACAGGCTGGAAGAACAAGAGGCAAACAACCCTAAGGTCCCTATAAAACAGGTGCATCTTGCTTGGGTTGTGGTCAATAATTTGGACTCCGTACATTCCCTCAACCACCCCTCAACAGAATGACTAAGAGGGGGAACCCCAAAACAGGAAAGACTCAGAGACTGTGACTTTTGCCAAGATTTACAAATGGATACAGATATAACCAAGATGTCAGAAATGGACTTCAGGGTAACAGTTATGAAGACGGTAGTGAGAATGAATAAATCGATCAATGGCAACGTAGAGTCTCTAAGGGCAGTAATGAAAGCTGAACTGGCAAAACTTAAAAATGCTATCAATAAGATCAAATCTAATCTAGATAATCTAACAGCTAGGGTAAACGAGGCAGGAAAACAAATTAGTGATCTAGAAGACAAACTAATAGAAAAGAAGGAACTGGAGGAGGCCTGGAAAAAACAGCTTAAAATCCATGAAAACAGAATTAGAGAAATAAGTGATGAAACGTTCCAATATCAGAATTATTGGGGTCCCTGAGGGGGTGGAGAGAGAGAGGGGACTAGAAGATATATTTGAGCAAATCATAGCTGAGAACTTCCCTAATCTGGGGAATGAAACAAACGTTGGTGTCCTAGAGGCAGAGAGGACATCTCCCAAGGTCAAGGAGAAGAGACCAATGCCCCAGCATGTAATAGTAAAGCTCGCAAATCTTAGAACAAAGGAAACCATCTTAGGGGAAATTAGGGGGAAGAGACTTCTTATGTACAGAGGAACATCAGAATAACATCAAATCTATTCACAGAGACCTGGCAGGCCAGAAAGGGCTGGCAAGACATATTCAGGGTACTAAACGAGGAGAACATGTAGCCAAGAATACTTTATCTGGCAAGGCTATCATTCAGAATGGATGGAGAGATACAGAGCTTCCAAGACTGGCAGAAACTGAAAGAAAATGTGATCACCGAGTCGGCCCTGCAAGAAACATTAAGGGCGTTTCGATAAAAGGAGAAAGACCTCAAGAGTGATATAGAACAGAAATTTACAAAGACAATCTATAGAAACAAGAACTTCACAGGCAACATGATGACAACACATTCATATCTTTCAATAATCACTCTCAACGTGAGTGGCCTAAATGCTCCCATAAAATGGCACAGGGTTGCAGATTCAATAAAAAGACAGGACCCATCCATATGCTGTCTACAAGAGACTCATTTTGAAGCTAAAGATACATCCAGACTGAAAGTGAAGGAATGGAGAACCATATTTCATGCCAACGGACCTCAAAAGAAAGCTGGCGTAGAAATTTTCATACTAGACAAATTAGATTTTAGCTAAAGACTGTAGTTAGAGACACAGAAGGGCACTATATCATTCTTAAAGGGTCTATCCACCAAGAAGATCTAACAATTGTAAATATCTATGCCCCCAGCATAGGAGCAGCCAACTACATAAGCTAACTGTTAACCAAAATAAAGAGACATATTGATAATAATACGTTAATTGTAGGAGACTTCAACATTCCACTCTCAGCAATAGACAGATCATCTAAGCAGAAAATCAACAAAGAAACAAGAGCTTTGAATGACACACTGGACCAGATGGACTTCATAGATATATGCAGAACATCCCACCCTAAAACAACAGAATACTCATTTTTCTTGAGTGCACATGGAACTTACTCCAGAATAGACCACATACTGGGTCACAAATCAGGTCTCAACTGATAACCAAAAGATTGAGATTATTCCCTGCATATTCTCAGACCATAATGCTTTAAAACTGGAACTCAATCACAAGAAAAAAATTGGATGAAATTCAAACACTTGGAAGTTAAAGACCACTCTGCTTAAGAATGTTGGGTCAACCAGGAAATCAAAGAAGAACTTAAAGAATTCATGGAAACCAATGAGAGTGAAAACACATCTGTCCAAAATCTATGGGATACTGCAAAGGTGGCCCTAAGGGGGAAATACATAGCCATCCAAGCGTCACTCAAAAAAATAGAAAAATCCCGAATTTACCAACTGACTTTACACCTTAAAGAACTGGAGAAAAAGCAACAAATGATGCCTAAGCCACGCATTACAAGAGAAATAATTAGGATTAGAGCAGAGATCAATGAATTAAAAACCAGAAATACAGTAGAGATCAATGAAACTAGAAGCTGGTTCTTTGAAACAATTAATAAAATCGATAAACCACTGGCCAGACTTATCCAGAAGAAGAGAAAGGACCCAAATTAATAAAATTATAAATGAAAGGGGAGAGATCATGACTAACACCAAGAAGATAGAAACAATGATTAGAAATTATTATCAACAACTATATGCCAATAAATTAAGCAACCTGGAAGAAATGGATGCCTTCCTAGAAACCTATAAACTACCAAGGCTGAAACAGGAAGAAACTGACAACCTGAATAGACCAATAACCAGTAACAAGATTGAAGCAGTGATCAAAAACCTCCCAAAAAACAGGAATCCAGGGCCTGATGGATTTCCTGGGGAATTCTACCAAACATTCAGAGAAGAAATAATACCTATTCTCCTGAAGCTGTTTCAAAAAATAAATGAGTCTGGAAGCTTTCCTTCTGTGTCTATTTTTGACTCGGGTCATGATCCCAGAGTACTGGGATGGAGCCCCTCCTTGAGCTCCCTGCTCAGGGGGGGTCTGCTTCTCCCTCTCCCTCTGCCCCTCCCCCAACTCATGTTCTCTCACTCACTCTCTCTTGAATAAATGAATAAAATCTTTAAAAACAACAAAAAAAGAAAGTATTTTATCAATAACAAAGTCTAACTACTTATCTTTTTAAACAATATTTACCCATAACAGAGGAGAACCATGATTTAGACTCTTTTTTCATGTTAATCACCATATATTACATCATTAGTTTTTGATGTTCTGTTCCCTGATTCATTATTTGTGTATAACACCCAGTGCTCCATGCAGAAAGTGCCTCTTTAATACCCATCACCAGACTAACCCATTATCCCACCCCCCTCCTCTATAGAACCCTCAGTTTGTTTTTCAAAGTCCATTGTCTCTCATGGTTCATCTCCCCCTCCGATTTACTCACCTTCATTCTTGCTCTCCTGCTATCTTCTTCTTTTTCTTTTTTCTTAACATACCTTGCATTATTTGTTTCAGAGGTACAGATCTGTGATTCAACACTCTTGCACAATTCACAGCGTTCACCATAGCGCATACCCTACCCAATGTCTCTCACCCAGCCACCCCATCCCTCCCACCCCCCCACCACTCCAGCAACACTCAGTTTATTTCCTGAAATGAAGAAATCCTCATATCAGTGAGGTCATATGATACATGTCTTTCTCTGACTGACTTATTTTGCTCAGCATAACACTCTCAAGTTTCATCCACGTCATTGCAAATGGCAAGATTTTATTGCTTTTGATGGCTGCATAATATTCCATTGTGTATATATACCACATCATCCTTATCCATTCATCTGTCGATGGACATTTTGGCTCTTTCCACAGTTTGGCTATTGTGGACATTGCTGCTATAAACATCGGGGTGCATGTGCCCCTTTGGATCCCTACATTTGTAACTTTGGGGTAAATTCCCAGTAGTGCAATTGCCGGATTGTATGGTAGCTCTATTTTCAACTTTTTGAGGAA